GACCATTGGTTTTTAATGCTTTTTTTATTACACGTAGTTAATATTTGATATGTTGCAGTTGTAAATTTTAAGCGTATTCAACTAATCAATGTTAAAATTGTAAATAAATAAAAGAATAATTAAAAGATCTAATTGAACAAACAAATAGTTCATCATATAAACAAATAAATAAATAAACACATGAAAAATTTTCTATTTAAAAACATTTTACAATGTCGTAAAGAGAGAATTTCACACTACGTCTCTTAATTTTAATGAAGTTTTCATAGCAGAAGAAAAAATTGCCAAACATTCAACCAAACTTTATATAAAAACTCAACGTGATTAAACTATTTTTAAATTTAGAACTTTCACTTCATAATAAAATTTTTTTAAATTAAAATTTAACAGTTTGAAACTTCGTTGAATAACCACTCTTCCCATTACGGACAAATAAAAAATATGAATCTTGCCGTCTCTAGAAAGCAGCGTAGCTACCACCTGAAAAATTTTTTAATTAAGGTTTTGCTAAGTAAGCAAGAAATACATGAGGACGACTTGACACGGCATGACACGACAACCAAAGGACGACTTTTGCTTGAACACATGTGTCGTCTCTTGGTTAATTGCAACTGCTCCTAGCTACAACCAGCCACACTAAACCACATCTAATGACAGAACGTAACATCGCAAAATGTCACCTTACTTTGTACCACAGCAAACCACACGACACCACAACACACTACACCACATTACGACACAAGCCACACCAAGCAACTTCAGAGAACACACTTCTAACAAGACGCTTCAAAATGGTGCAATGTAGTAGGCTGCATATGCTAAAAACCATTAGCATAACAGGTCCCACACACTAAAACACAATACACACCACGTAACATACACCAGACTTAATACTACACTCACCATCCAAACCTGCTAACACCACACAACACAAACAACACACCACAAACAACACACCACATACAACACACCATAAACAACGCACCACAAACAACACACCACAAACAACACGCCACAAACAACACACCACATACAACACCACATACAACACACCACAAGCAACACGCCACAAACAACACACCACATACAACACGCCACATACAACACACCACAAGCAACACGCCACAAACAACACACCACAAACAATACACCACAAACAACACACCAGGCCATAGAAAGCACACACACACACACACACACACACATCGTACAAACTCAAAACAACAAAGTATACATCAATACAATACCAATCCCCCCAAATCTCTTCACATGCACACAACATACAAACCACGCTGCACACACCGCACTCCAGTATTCACTCTCAGTCACAACACACCTGACGTTTGTATATTGTATTTGTATTTAGTTTTAGATCACTCAATTTTCAACTTTTCGGAATGGAAAAAAAAATCTTTAACGTTACAAATCATTATGTTAAGTTTCTGGGAAGATCAATTGTGTAAATGCGCGCGCGCGTGTGTGCGTGTGTGTGTGTGTGTGTGTGTTAGAGTGTGTGCGCGCGTTTGTATTATATATAGTAAAATGATTTCGTGATGTTTGGATGCATCTTAAAACCTTGTGAAGTATAGTAGTGAGGAAGAGGAAGTTAAAATTCTCCACGTCGTAGTATTTAAAACTTGAAGTATTTTTTGTACCATTTCAGTAATTTCGTTTCTCCAAGGTTGGTTTTATTTTTTGTTTACAAATAATGTTGTAAAACAGTTAAGTTGTAAAGTTTAATGCCGGATCAAGTGAATTAATTTGTAAATATAATATAATATTATTATCATCATCATTATTATTATTGTTAGTATATTATTGTTATTTCAATTTTTACGGAGTTCTACTAAAAAAGATTTTTTCAACTTTTTAATCGCCAACATCAGACTGCTGCAAAGTAGTGTTACAACATGACACGCAACCGTCAATCCATGCGTTCGTCATTTCTCGTGTAGTTATTTTTTTAAATTCCATTTATTCACAAAAAATAAAGTCAGCCTAACAATAAATGCTTATCTAGGGTTGACTCCCATAAGACAAGAAATAACATAAACATAATAAATAACCCAAAACATAATTTATTTATTTCTAGATGTTGGTGAATCCATGTATTATTTCGCAAAATTATGCTAAAATAATATTAACAACAATAATAATTAAGAACGATACTACTCAAATTATTGATGTGGAGTTATTGTTGATGGATGGCAAGTTTGTTTTGCATGCGGTGTCTGTCCGCTTAATGATAATGGACATGATGCTAACGCTGATGTGATGGCTTGACAATAACATGGCAATGACATGATGACATCATCACAATAAATTAACCTCGTGACGTTATAATAACTTCACGGTGTCATATGATAATATTATGTTAGCATCTTAGTCCTACATTAACATAATGACGGTATGTTGCAATAATCAGATTAGGTCCATTGTATCACATTAACATTATTACATTACACGTTAAAACATTAACATTTTATCGGAAAATTTTGTGCTTAATTGACATTGTAAGAATAATTTGTTGTTGTCATGTTGATGTGAATTGAGAGTTCTTTGAATCAACTTTCGGCAAAAATTTCTACACAAGCAAATAATTTTTCTCCGGCTCTCCGAAACCTTTGACGGATTTAGAAAATAATATATTCATTTCAATACTGCTGCGGTTAGCCGTTTTGAAATGTAAGACAGTTACACTTGCTAAAAATATTTAGAGTAAACAGTTTGGAATCCTAACATGTTGGTTGAAGAATGTAAATTTCAAACTCAAAAGACAGAGACATGGTGCACTCCCAGCTGAAGATAAACTAACATCAAAACGTGCATCTTAACAGAATCATGTTCAAACTTAAATGCATCTCCGTGAAAAAAATGTAAAGTACAGAGGTAAAGTCTTCAAATAAGCAACTTTTTTAAATTCTTTATAACGCAGCTCTGTTAACATGTTATCATATATTCGATATTAAACTTTTGATTAACAAAGGGCTGTACTATCCAAATCAAAAATATGTGTATGATGGTCTTTGAGTTTTGGTCAGACAGTATTCGAACCATTCAATTGTTTAAAAGCAGCGCGAAACCTACCGACTGAGCTAACTCGATGGATAACGGTATAAAGTTAAAGTTAAATAACTGGTTAACAATATTTCAACGTAACTCGAAAGCTTAACTAAAAATAGATATATGGATAGATAGATAGATAGTTTGATTGATATTTAGATGGATAGCTAGATAGTTGGAAAAGCAATCGATACTACCCATATCCATCAAATCTCACGTGCTTTATGAGTTACTAATAGATTGGATGCATTTTATTAATGCAGTGAACAATTAATGGGATTATGCATGAAATAAAACAACGCAAAATACACGTGTGTGTGTGTGTGTGTGTGCGAATACACACACAAACACTTACACACACACAAACAAACAAACACACTCATATGTTAACGCAAAAATATTACGAATGTCGTATAACGTGTAACTCTAATTGTTATAGCTGTAGTCGTAGCAGTAGTTATAATTGTTGTTGTTTCTTGCTGTTGATGTTGTTGTTGTGTTGTTGTTGCTGTGAGATACATGTGGCTTGCACGTTCGTTTTTAGACAGTAGTAAAAAATCTAATTATGACGATGACTTTGATGATGACAATGACGATGGTGACGACGTTTATGATGATGACGATGATGTTGATGATGATGGTGATGATGACGAAGACGAAGACGATGATAGCAATGATTAAGAAAACGTCATGAATGCATAATGATGTCTAAGGGTGATATTAATGATACTAACAGAGGTGATAACAAAAATGATTAGGTGGCACGATGTCAAAAGAACGGACGGTATTGAGAAAATCTAATTATAATTAAATGTAATGGCTTTCAAAGAACTTATCAGGCAAATTAACGCCACTGGCACGTTTCTCATTCAAGTCTCTCCTTCTAAATTTCTATTTCGAAATTGGTTTTGGCTCGCTGTTCATTGTTTCACTGCTTGTTGAGTAACTTTTATTTGGTTTGCAATTTAAGATGGTCCTGTTTGGTGTTTACTGTGGTTTATTTTTTGTCTATTGTAGCAAATTATGGAGCAATAAGAAGATGTATTAATTTGTATGATCTGATCACTAAATAAAATTTGATATTAAATAACGACATAATGAAGATAGAAGTATTTCTCAACATAAATTAAAAATAAAATAAAAAAGACAATAAATAGACAAATAATTTCTTAAATTTGAATAAATTAATCATCAAATGAGTTAACCAAAATTCTGTTGAATGCCTGCATAGATCCTTGTTAGTTCTCAATGTATGTTCCTTGTAACTGATAAAAATAATTTTTTTAGATAATTTTGTTTAAATTACTCTTTAAATAATTTTGTTTACAATTTACTGATGCTTTATTTTTAATGTCAGGACGAGGACCTTGAAAATGGATTGCAGAGATTGAATTGAAGTGGATTCGGCATTTTTGCTGCATTCATTCCGTCTCACTGAACTAGAAAAAGAAATCAAAACTTATGAAATATTTTTGAATAATATAGGGCATCGATTTAAAGTTTAAATAATATAACTTATAATTAAACAAGTCTAAAAACGAGAAAGAAAGAAACGAACGAACGAACAAACAAACAAAAAAGCAAGCTAACAAAAAGCAAACGAACAAGCTAACGAACAAACAAGCAAGCAGGCGAACGAACAAACAAACGAACAAGCAACCAACATGGAGAACCTGCACAACACAATAACGTTGGGATTTAACGAAAACATTCACGCCATGAGCAGTGAGGAAACGACAAACAACAACAACAACAACAACAATTACAATAACAGCAGCAGCAACAACTTCAACAACGACGTCGCCAAAAGCAACAGCGAACTGACACTGACACTCAAATCGCTAGACACAACGTTGAAGCGACACACGGAAGCGTTACTCCTCTCAGACAGACGATTCTGCACGCTCGTCAACAACTTCAGCAGCAGCAGTAGTAACAGCAACAAAAACATCGAATTCGACAGCACCCAACAGCAACCAGATAGTCTGTTGCGATTCCTTGGCAATGGAACCATGCAGCAGATCGGTGGGTCATCCAGTGCCAGATCGAACGTGGCTTACCAGAGGCACAACAGCATGCAGCAGCATTCAAACAGAGATGTGGATAAGATGGAGAGAAAGGTTAACACGAGACAAGTTTGTTTTCTTTTTGTCTATTTTGGTTTTTGTTAATTAAATAAAATTTCATTACATCTGCAAAATGTCGTCTAGTTAAACAAAAACGGCCAGCAACAAAAAAAAAATAAATTATAGTATCTTTCTCTAATCAGCCTCTTTCAAATGGATGGAAAGTTTTTATTTCTTTGTAGATTTATTATATCGTTGGCTCTTTTAAACCCAATTATGTGAATATTTAATCCATTATTGACACAGAACTAATCAAAGTTTGTAGCATTTTGACTGGAGGAAAAAATTAATCGTTGATGAAGAATGAATGAGCGAATAAATCAACGAACGAACAAATGAAGAAATGAATAAATGATTTAAATAATCAATTATTCAATCAATCAATTATTTAATCAATCAATTAATCAATCAGTCAAACAAACTATCAGATAACTAAATAAATTAACGACTGAATAAACAATAGCAGCAGGCAAAAAATGGACACCAGCTACTGAGTAGGTCATTCACGAACACGTCTGCCTCCAATGTCCTCTTCATGAACGGAGATCTGGAGGACATTAAGGAAGACATTGTTCGAAATAAAAAGGTTGGCCTGTCTTTAAATAAATATGTGTATGTGCTTGTATACGTTTGTATTTGTTTGTATAAATATGTGTTTGATTTTGTATTACTGTATATGGTTTGTATGTTTGTCTATTTTTGAATACGTTTGTATATGCTTGTATATGTTTGTATATATTTGTGTATGTTTGTATACATTTGTGTATGATTTTGTATGACTGAATATGGTTTGTACGTTTGTCTATGTTTGAATACGTTTGTATATGTCTGTATATGTTTGTATATGCTTGTGTCTGGCATAGCTACAATTATCATGGTTATCCGCCTCTCACCACGCAATAATTTTTTCTTGCGAGTTACAGCAGATATGAACGCAAATCAATGACGTGATTACTTACGTACGATATCTGACAAATCATTGGAGTCTTTGCAATGTATCTCTTCAATGATACCCATCCTTCAACTTATTCTCTCATTTTCTTCTTTGTGTGATTGTATTTTTTTTCTTCAAAATTGATAATGTTAACGATGGCTGGACGAATTTGACGCTGTGGAACAATTTGCGCTAGGTGAAGTGTTTCATTTTTATTTCAAATTTAAACAGTTCAGTTTACCATCAGTGTAAATCACATTAACAAAACAACCTTCGAATGTGTTGAGAATAATTCGTTTATTCTTCAACGTTAAATTTTATTATTGAAATTTTTAAATCCATACATCCATGTGACTGGCTGCAAAACCCTACCTCTCTTCAGTGGAGGGTTTTTTTTCATCCATTATAATTCCATATAATTGTAGTACGGACAACTTTTTATTGAACATTAAACAGATGTGCCGGACATAAAAGACGACGACGACGATGATGATAAAGATGATGATGATGACGATGATGATGATGATGGTTATGATGATGATGACGATAAGATATTTGAAACATCATCTAATAGGTAGATGAGAATTTATTTGGTATAACCAACAAATAAATAATATGCATATATTTGCAAACCAAGTAAGAAAGAGAGAAAGCAAAGAGGAGAGAGAGAGAAAGAGAGAGAGAGAAAAGAAGTGAGAGAAAGACGTAGTAGATGTAATGAAGTAATGGAGGATAATAATTCCCAAGGTGATATTACTTTGCTACTCAACAAATACTTCCTAGTACATTTCTTCTTTTAATGAAAATATTTCTCAGAATAACACTCATTCGATCGACGATAAGATAAGAGTGGCGATAAAAAAAAAGAAAAATGACTTCAACATTGATTATCGATCGACATTTTGTTTGCTTGCCTCTCTCTCTCTCTCTCTCTCTCTCTTTTTGTTTGTGTGTGTTTGTTTGTCCGTGTGTTTGCTTGCTTGCTTGCTTTTGGACCTGATTGAAAGGTTTCTTCATACTCGTGGCAATCTTAAGTACCGTTGTCGTAGCAACTTGCAAAACAGGTGGTATCATTTAATTGCCAAGTTCACGTCTTCTTCCTACCTAAGTCTCGCTATAACCGCTAGCTGAATTAATAAAATCGCATTTAAGGGTGAAAAAGTATTTCGAATTCAATTTTTAGTTGTTGTTGTCGTTGTCGTTGCTGTTATTTGTTTTTGTTGTTGTTTGATGTTGTTGTTGTCGTTGTTTTCATTTGATATCGTTGCTACTCACTGTTTAATTTGTGTTGTTGTTACCGCTGTTAAGTTAATTGAGGCGAATACGCGGATGAAATTTTTTTTTAATTCTTCTCCTCTTCAACACTCCTCTTCAAACAGTTGGAAGTAAAATATTTCGCAAATAGTGTGTTTGTTTGTGTGTGTGTGTATGTGTGTGTATGTGTGTATGAGGATGTATTTATTTGTGTGTATGTGTGTGTGTGTGTGTGTGAGGATGTATGTATTTGTGTGTTTGTGTGTGTGTGTTTAAATGTATGTAGAGGAGCGCGTGATCGTTAAAGAACTTAACGTATTGGCATGCATTAGTTGGAATGGAATGAACGCGGAAATCGAATATGGAGGAACAAACTGCTCGCTGGAAATCGATTGCATGCACATCTCCATCTACTGCTGCTGTTGGTCTCTATAAGTGGGCCATCTATTGGCGGGCTCGCAAGCAAGTATTAGTACATAGATAGGTGCATGTATTTTTTTCAAATTTTTCTTTTTGGGTACTTATTTATAATGCCATGCTTCAATATAGAGTTTTGTAATGTTCTCATTGTTCTTACTATTAATCTATTTCTTCGTAATTTTCGACTGACTATTTTCAGTGAAAATTTATCGATGTTAAATTTTATAATTTTTAGTAGCATGTGTGAGTGTGTGTGTGTGTTTGTTTTTCTTTGTGTGTGGTTTGTTTGCTTATGTGTGTTTGTGTGTGAAATTAATTCTTCATTTATCATTTCATTTGATTTTTATGTCCAATTACTGAGCATAAACTTATATGAAACTTTATTGAGACAACTGACAAGAAATATTGTAATAGGTGAAACATCAAAAATCATCTGCGAACAACCGACCAACCAACCAACCAACCAACCAACCAACCAACCAACCAACCAACCAACTACCATCTATAATGTCATGTTTGCACTAGAAATAATTTCACGGCTTGACCATCTGATTGATTGATTAAGTGATGTAACTATAAAAGGAGCCCCGCATAAAAGTGCATTCTGACAGCTTTTTTATTTATTACAATGCCTTGTTAAATTGAATTTTTTAGCAAAATTAAATAATTAATGAGATAAAAAAACTTAAATTTTGAAAAAAATGTTAAGTATAGAAGTTTAAAATTTGGCGAAACATGAATATGAATGTGTCGTTCAGCCTAATGTACGTACACGAATGTTAAGATACGTTAATATGTAATTTGTACGTACGTAAATGTAATATGTACGTACACGAATGTTAAGATACGTTAATATGTAAACTATTAAAATTTATTATGAACGAAAGGGCACATGGCCAGTAGAGTATCCGGAATTTAGCGGTGGGAGGGATGATTTCGGAATTGTAAAGTTGATCACCGTTTTTCCAATTTTTTAAAATCCCCTTTTGATCCCGTGTCGGTAACGGATGATTTTCAAAATTTTTAGTTGAAGACGTTTGCTATTTTCGATTAATATATTATTATTAAAGTTTACACAGAATCTTCAATATTTTTTTCATTTTTTTTGGAGGGGTGTACCCTCCCCTCTGAATCCACCGCTGCATGGGAAGAGTGTATTAATTTTTGAGATTTTTTTCATTTCATTTGATGAACAGCTAATCTAAATTTTATTTCCACGGAGCAATGTTCTGCCTGGTTTATCTCATATAAAATTCTTCACAGTAATTATATTATATTGCAGTACCTTGTGAAGTGGCGGTAAAAATTTTGGGATAGTGGCTTAGATGAAAACTTGATGACATTGAAAAATCATTGTTCGCCCACGCGAACCACACACTCTGAATGATATTTGCGAACTATCCAGCAGGCCCGTCTAGATACCATCACACTGAATCCCAACAGATACAGTCAGGCACATTCAGACAAAGTCACTTGCATTACAGTAACACACAAAATATTGCACACAAAAACTCACACACACACAAACACATACGCACTGTCAGAAAAATTTTGAAATAAAAAGAGGTTCATATGATGATAATCAACTTAGGTAGGGAGATAACTTGAAGAGTGGGACGTCAGAAGAAGATAAATGAAAGCACTTGAGAGAAAGTATAAACAGACAAGCATCATTCCTGCAAGCATTCTTTAACTTTAAGAACCATCAGTAAACTGCAGAGGCGAGCAATCAATGAACTGTGAGCGAGCTGGTCGTTGACTCCAAAATTAACTTTCACCTTACTGTTTTATAACTCTAGACGATGTTTCATTATAATTATTAGCATATTACTCTCGTATTAATAATTTTAAAAGTGTTTTGTAACATGGGAAGAAGCGCAGAGATGAAAAATGCATCTGATATATATCCCCCACGGTGATATTCATGTAGGCAAACGGTATGGAATTACATGAGCTAATATGCTTTTCCTCCTCATTTTATTTTCGCATGTATTAATTACTAAATGTATCTTGTACACACTACACACGCATACACAAATGCATACACCTAAACACAAACATATATACATACACACACATACATATATACGTACATACACATACATATATACGTACACACACATACATATATACGTACACACACATACATATATACGTACACACACATACATATATACGTATACACACACATACATACTTTGATACTATTATACATATACGTACGTAAATATACACGTACGGGAGTACATGGGTAAATAAATGTTTGATTACAATGAAAATAATAACACTGGCATATGTACCGTTCAAAAAGCAAGAGCTCAAAATATCCAATTTAACACATGCACACATTGAATTATCAGCAAGGTATAAAAACAATCTAAACAGACAAACAAAACAAAACAAAAGAACGAACTAACGAACTAACGAACGAACGAACAGCACATTAACAAATAATAAAATAATAGACACTCATTCCAAACATGAACAAACACACAGCGTGCAAACACATAACCCAGCACATTGTTCGTTATGAAGAAACTAAATATGACACAAAGCAAACACGCGCAAATGCAATCATTAAAACCACCCTCATAAACAACAGACACCAGCTACACACACACACACACACACACACACACACACACACACACACACACACATACACACACATTTCTAAACGCCTATTAAATTAACCACCGAACATGCTCAGGCAGTCACGTAAGTAAAGACCAAAAAAACAAACAAATGCATACTAGCGCGCACACACACACACACACACACGCACGCACGCACATACACGCACGCACACACACACACGCGCGCACACACACACGCACGTATGCAGGAGGCACATCACAGGCGTGCATAAACGTATAAGAATGTACAGAACCATCTTATCAGCGTGACCTACACCTGCTTGTTTGTGATCACGTTGTCGTATTGATCAGCTGGGTCGGTGCTGGGCAAGCAGAAGTAGGGCTGATTTCAAAGTGTTTATTTTCAATACCTCAAACTTTTTAATTGCAAACGCGAGGGCAGAGAAAGTCCCCACAAACAGCCCTCACAAAACACCCCGACAAAGTTTTCAATAAAAATTATTTTACTTTTTTAAATATTTTGAAAATGGCGTTTCTCTAACTCGCAATCCTCACTCCGTCGCTCATGGGAAGAGTGAAAACATCTGTATTTGAATTTGCATACTTTTGTCCTCACGGCCTACAACAAAAACAAAAGCCGAAAATTATCCATCACTATTTTTTATCATCAAATCAGAAGATGACGTCATCTTCATCGTTATCATTATCATCATCTTCATCTTCTTCTTCATCATCATGTTCATCGCCATCCAATATTTTCATAATCGGAAAGCATGCCCTATTTATAAATAACAACAATCATCATCATGATCGTCATCATCGTAATCGTCATCATTTTTCTACCGCAGTTTTGTTCATATCATTTACGATCTTTCTTGTTATCATCTCTATCATCATCATCATTGTTATCATCATCATCATCATCATCATCATCATCATCATCATCATCATCATCATCATCATTGTTATCATCATCATCATCATCATCATCATCATCATCATCATTGTTATCATCATCATCATCATCATCATCATCATCATCATCATCATTGTTATCATCATCATCATCATCATCATCATCATCATCTTCATCAGTATTGTTATCACTTTCATCATCTACATTCTCATCATCTTCATTATCACTGTTTTCACCTTCAACATCATCATCAGCAGCATTGTTATCATTTTCATCATCATCTTCATCATCTTCATCACCAGGGTTTTTATCTCTTCATCATCGTCGTTATCATCTACCTCCTCTTCGTCATTATTGTAATTGTGGAAGGTAATGAAAGCATCCACCCATCGTTCATATTTTTTCGTTTCATTTCCATATAATTCATCTTATAACTATATAAAGTAACGTGCTGTATAATTATACATATATACATATATATATATACATTCGGTAGAATTTATAGACATATATATTTATATATATATGTGTGTGTGCGTGTGTGTGTGCGTGTGTGTGTGTGTGTGTGTGTACGTGTGCGCGCGTCAGTGCAAAAATTAAATAAACAATGATGTTCCCGTTTTAATGAGGTTTATATAGAAGAAGGGATTATTGGCACAAGACAATGCATTTTGCATTGTCTTGTGACGATTCTTCTATTTTTCTGTTACTGTTGATGTTGTTGATGATATTGTTGCTGTTTTTGTTGTTGATGCTGACGTTGTTGTTGTTGTTGTTGTCGTTGATGAGGATGATGATGTTGTTGTTGTTGTTGTTGACGTGTTTGTATTAATTCTTTCTCTTTGCGACTTTTCTTTGTTGATTTTTTTTCAATCATAGATTTGGCTTTAGATATTTTGTTGTTGGCTTGACTGAAACTGTTGTTGGTTTTGTTATTTGGTTGGTGGTGGCAAGAGATTTAGATCGTTTTGGTTTTCTCAGGTGACTATTATTGCCATTATTTTTATTCTCCACATCGACATTGTTTTTCGTCTTAGTGTGCATGCATGTTAGTTTCGAATGGTAGTGGGCTATGTACTTTACATTGTCATTACCGTCTGACATAGTTTAAACAATATCAGAGGCACAAATAAATCTTGCAGTTAAGATGCGATGTTTGCACGTAAGTACATAAAAAATGTGGCAGTAAAATCTCGCTGCATTGTGATTAAGTAAGAAACAAATCCTAATACAGGTCTGCTGTTTTTGAGTTACATCATATTGAATATCGTGTTAAACAACAGTTTATCATTTTGCTGACGTTAATGGTTAACTCTGTGCTTATTTTTGCTGTCATATTTTTTTGCGTTTCGTCGAGTTGTTATACCTCCAGGCACTAAAAAAGTTGATGATTTGATAAGAGGATTTGATATAAAACAAAGAGCTCTGTTTATTATTTTTCAAAATAAAGTTTTCATAGTTTACATACTGTTAACACTAAAATATTTGACAAACAAACAAATGAACGAACGTACGTACGAACGAACGAACGAACGAACGAACGACCACAGACGACGATACAAGCCCGCATCGTATTCTTGAAGTTAGGCGAGATCGATACTCTACACGATCGATTCAACGCCAATGTCTTCATTCAGGTTGATTTTTTACAGGAATTATTAAAAGTTTTGTAATGTAATTATAAGTAATAATAATATTAATAATTATTATTTTTATTATTATTTATGTTATTATTATTATTATTATTATTAATATAATTGTCGCTTATTTTAATTCCTTGTTTATAATTCGTTGATACAAATCGTCTGCAGGCCAAATGGCGGGAACCAGCTCTAGATCATACATACTACAAGGTAGATTGTGGTGTAGCTCTCTTGGAAATGTGGATGTGATGATGCTAGATAGGGTTTTAAATGTGGAGATGTAGCTTTCAACAGCCTGCTGTGATTGGTCACGCTTAAGTTGCAATTTTTGATGTCGTGTGCCTCTTCAATGACAGACCTTCTTGCATTTTGCGTTTTTGCAAGCTATTTTCAAACTTGCCCTTTCTAACTTTGACTAAAATTTTTTTTACTCAATTCATAACGCTTTGAAAGATTTTTCATTTGATGACACGAACTTTTTAATTTCAATTCTTTGAGATTTCGAAATAAGTTTTCACGGTGTACCAGAAGATAAAAAAAAGGTGTTTTTTTGTTTCAATATGCAATTTACTTTTCAAAATTGTGTCTCAAGTTTTTAAAAAATGAAAGGGAAAAATTTAATATTTAAAAAAATGTTAATTGCAGGAATTCGACAAAATAGATTGGTCTAAGTATTGGTCGCCAAAGTTGTTCGTTGAGAATGTCTTCGGAGACCCCAGAGAGAACATCGAGTACAGTATCTCTTATGATTCTAAAGGTTGGTCGGTCGGTAAGCTGGTTGGCTGTATCGGTAGTTGGTTGATGGTTTTTAACTCTTTGCTGGTTGGTAAAAAAACGTGTGTCAATTTTCTGTGCCCGGTTATAAAACTTGATAGTCAAGAGAATGACGTTAAATGTCTTAGAGCAGAAAAGAATGAGATTTTGAAAATATTTGCTGATTCAAAACTTTGACGCCGAAGTTTTTTGCAGAGCGATTGTAATGTTTCGATTTTGGAAGTTTTTTCAAAATACGATAATTTGTTTCATCCTTTTAATATCTCCAGTAAGAAACGTTAAAATTGATAGAAAAAGGTATATTCAATCAAACGAGCAATTCATAAAATAGAAGCGTTAGAAAATATGCAGCAGCAAGCAGTAAACAACCACACAACTAACCACAACAAACCACAAGCAACAACGCAATCAACCACACAAGCAACCACACAAGCAACCACAAGCAAACACATTTTGGACGTTGCAGGCAAGGCAACAGTGTACGAGAAGCGGCGTGTGTTATCACATTTTCAGGAGTTCATGGAACTTAACAAGTTTCCTTTTGATACACAGGTAAGCGATTCATGAAGATTCTATCGGAACTCTGTTATATCATATCAGTGATACTATGTTATGTTGTTAAAATATCGGGTGGGTGAGGGCATGCTATAGGTGCTAAATATAACGAGGGCATACCTCTTTGATTGTTATTATTATTATTGATATTATTATTATTATTATTATTAGTCTCTACAGTGAATAATTACATTTAATTTTTTCTAACTCTTTAATTTGAACGCACACAAATGGTGGACACGCAGGACTTAACGGTGACGCTGACTTCCGAGAGGAACGAAGCGGAAGTCGAATTGATCGAGGACGTGTCGGAGAGATGTGCGTTGAATCCGCAATCGTTCGTCGACGAGCAGGAGTGGAAGCTCCACAAAATTGTCGTCACGTGGCGTCGAACTCGGACAGACGACAACAAATCACCGAAGACTAACCATTCCGCCTTTTCTGCCGCCTGCAAAGCCAGCAGAAGACCGGAGTTTTTTATTTGGAACATTCTCGTTGTTATGGTTAGGAGTAACAACGCACGCAACTTTACAAATTTAATTTATTTTTTTAAATCTTAATAACTGAACAAAAATGTTAATACAACTTATAATGTTTGATGTGTGATGAAATGAAGCACTTTAATTAAACTGTCCTTACAGTTTCTCATCTGCAGTTTATCATTCGCCACGTTCGCTGTCGACTTGAACCTTCCACAGAACCGTCTGCAACTCTCCTTCATTCTCCTCCTCACCACTGTCTCGTTCAAGTTCGTCGTCAACCAGAGCCTGCCAATGATTGCGTACCTCACTTATCTGGTACCTTATATAACTTCTCTCTAACGGAATAAAATTTTGAATTAAGACAAAATGTCTAATAAATATTTTAAATTTGATTAATAATATAAAAAATCAAAACAACAATCGTAAATTCAAAATTGTATCGTTGAATTAAAATAATAAAACATTAGGACAAATATATTCTGGGTTCCATGGCCATTTTGTGCTGCATCTGTGTGTGGCACGCAGTCGTGCCACTCTTCAACAACAGCCCGTCCTGCTGCAGCGAACATTCGAAGTATGCGGACACTGTGGCTCTCATCATCCTCTCCATCATCTACATCGTATTTCACGCGTTCTTTATCTTCATCATTGCTTGCGTTGTAAGTTATCATTTTATTTTTAATTTGGCACAAGCTAATTTATTTTCAAACGTAACCCAACAAATCTTACGGTTTTTGTTTTGTTCAGATTATTTTTTATTCACTTAAGATTAAAAATGGGTTCAAAATGTGCAACGAATGTAGGGTAAATTTATAAAATGATATTTGAGGTGCATAAAACAACAATGACCATGCAATGATTTAACATTACCATTCTAACCCATCATCATATTCATTATCGGTCACCTCACCATCATTGCAGACGTCGAAAACACGAAATTACGACAGAGGGAATGAAATCTTTCCTGAATTTCTCTGTGGAAATGATGTCAGTGGTTCACTTTTACATTCATTCACTCATGCATTCATCTACTCACTTATTAATGCTTCTTTTCATTCAGTCGCTCATTCAATACCACCTTCATGAACAGTTGAAAAACAAGCATTAAAACTGCATAATTAACGTACATTGGCAATTTGTAATGAAATTTTGTAATGAAATTGTTGAAAAATTTCTCAAAATGTTGGTTATAGTTGATCTAATAAATGTTACGTTGGACTGGGCATTAAATTAAACTTATCTTAGAATGACATTCAAGTGAATCATTTATACTGTAAATGACCAAAAAATATGATTAATTACAATTTACAATCACAAAAAATTTCATTGCTACAGTCAACAACAGAGCCAGTAGTAACTCCATCTCAAACAGCAAACGTAGCAAACGTGGACCATTTCACGAACAACACCAAGAACAACAACACCGTCATTACCAACAACTCTAACAACAACAAAGTTCTCGGCAACGATTTATAAACACATTTCAAATGATAAACTTCCAACAATACTTCTACCATTCGTCATTCCAGTTGCAACTCTATCTAACCATAAAAAAAATATCCATTTATATTCATTCATTCGTTCATTATATTTTAAAGACATTTATATTGCAGCCAGTATAAACATTTTGTTTGTTAAAAAAGAAACGCCCCAATTAAGAAGAAATGTTGACTTTGCTTCACCACCAAATATAGTATTTTTATTGAAAAAAAACTAAATGCCTGTACATTTATTCTTTTATTAAATCTGTAAATTAAATTTGAACTTATCGTTCTGTTCTTGTTGCAATGCAAATGTTCATCGATGCCACACTGTTTAAATATTTCAAATTGACATTTCTTCAGCTTTTTATACGTATAAATTAAAATTAATTAAAAATAAAATACTAGTGTTAATAAATTTCTTTCAAAATTGTAGTATCTAGTAACTCTTGTTTCTAAAGAATATGCAATAAAGTATTCATTATAATAACATCAAACCAAACATTTTAACAAGACAAATACTTGAATCAATAAAAAAATGTTAAATTAAGTCTATTGAATACTCCAAGATAAGTAGCTAGGTAAGAAGGTAAGTAGATGGGTAGGTACGTAGGTAGGTAAGTTCCCAACAGAATCACATTCCAAGTAACAATGCCTCACCAATCATCCAATCATTTCAGACAGCTCTCAATTGATTCACATATCTCGTCAACAATGAAATCTCTGTTAGCTTTTGTGACCTGAAAAATTGAAAGTAGTAGTTAATTTATCAATGATTGAAACAAAGTCTAGAAAAACATATTAATTAAGCACCAATATCTTCAAGAATTACCTTAATATCATCAGCTCAGGTAAATGAATGAGATCTTTGCTAATAAGTAATAACTATAATATATTGTAATATAACACATTCTACGACATTACATATAATCCTTACAAAATCTATAGAGCAGTATTTTAAAATTGGAATGATTGTTAACGCCATAATGGTTGGTTCTAAGATAAAATAATTTGTTCAAGCAGGTCAAACTTGGAGCAATGTGTGTGGAGCTGTGAACAGTACAAGAGCTAAGGAGTAGAGTCTTAAGAGTCTTAATTTAGAGGAAATATAGAAATAATAACACAAGATAAACTAAATCATAAATAACAAAATGTGAAAAAAATAATTTCAAAGTGATAACAACTTGAAAAACTTTCACAGTTTTATCATTTCTGATCTCCTCAACAATTGCTAGTGGCCTTTGTTTAGCAGTTGGAATTGTTGCCAACACAGCACAAACAACATTTTTGCCAGAAAATAATTCTCTCACTGCAGACTCAAACTTCTTGCTGAATAATTCCATCTTCCCAATCTCATCTACCACTAACAATGATTTACTTCCATCCTTAACATCAGAGGAAAACTAAAAAAAACAAAAAAATTTAATTTCAAATACTTTCAAGTTACAATAATTTATGAAGACTTGTAATGTTGGTAAAGCTATGTTCTCAAATTCATCAATGTCCACAGTGTATTTTCCAATCATTGGTTTGTTTTTGATTGTATTTCTAACTGAGCTATGAAAATAAAGTGTTATATACCAATATATTTCAATTGCAAACATTTTGCAAAAACTTCTTTAGTTAATTTTAAAAAATCATTACATTATAAATTATTTTTTGAGTTATATGTTATAAAGTACTAAATGGTTGATAGAAAATCAAATAATTGAGGTGAATTATTCAATTATTAGTTTGTTTATTAGAATATATTTTTAAAAAATAATTTACAAGAAATATAAATAAATAATAATTTAATTAAATTAAAAGTAAATAGTGACGGACAAAATATAGTTACCACACACTTGCCAATGATCCTCTCTTCAAGCCATCAAGCGTGACCACATCAAAACCAACCCTTTCTCTGTTCACTCGTCTTTCTTCAGTGTAAAACCCCTGGGGTCTGAAACCTTTTTCTTTTAAAATTTGAACCAATTTAGTGATGAGTGTTGTTTTACCTGAGCCTGTTTGTCAAAAAAAAGAACAAATTGTTAACAAGCAAAAGATTTAAATAAAAAATTAATTTATTTACCAGGTTCCCCAGTCAGAATGCAATGTTTGAAGTTTGAAGCCATCTTCTATAATTTATATTGCCATACCATACCCCTACTATTGCAATTCTATTGTTGGTATAATATATTAAAAATAAATCAGTATAGTTTATTTGTGTATATACTATATACTTTATACTAGTTTAAGTTTATTTTATATTTATATTAAATTATAATTATACTTTATAGTTTAGTTTTAGTTATACTTGTCTGAAAATTTAATTTACAATACTTTTTATTTTTCTGAAATAAATAGCTTAAAACCCAAGGTTAGTTAACAAAGGTTTGCTAGCTATTCCCAAGTTTAGAGTTTAGTTTAGTTTAGTTTAGTTAGCCATTAAAAATTATTATTATTCACAAGTAAGGTTAACCAGGCATTGATTAAACATTAAATTAAATTAAAATTTAAATTAACCATCCCAATTGGACAGTGTACAATAGTACAGTGAGTGGTAGATTTAAAACAAAGCAGACGTATATTATCAAAAATGCAACAATACTTCTAATCAAATACTATCAATTGAACGCCAAAACAGCCATCATAAACAAAAACCCTAAGAAAGAAATTAGTGATTTTGGCTTTTGAAAAGTTAAATCGATGGTAAAAAAAAACATTTACAACTAAAAGGTAATTTATGTTATGACAGAATTAAAAAAAATCAAATCTATAAAATTTTAAATTATGTGTAGAAAAAAAATATGAAGGTTTAGTTTCTAATAATTCAATTCAAACGATTAAAAAATGGAATTGATGTTGCTTGAAAAATTAGTATACGGAAAGATATCGTGAATGGATTGGAATCGTTTTTTATCGTCTGCACCGCTTATCGATAACAAATAAGTCTGTAAATGACAAAATTCCGATATATAAATACAGCAAAGGTAAGTAACTTTAGAACTCGATTTTATGAAAACGTCTCTTTGAAATTTTCATTGTGTGAATGTCTGAATGATGTTTTAAAGTTAATTAATATTAATGTTAATAAAAAATCTCAAATCTTTTCAGATTTTGACATTTTGTTCATTAAATTTTCACCTTCAGAGGAATTGTCAAGTTTCTTAATTTAAAATGACAGTTGAGTACAACAACAAACTAACGACAGCCACAATGGCTGCTTTGATATCAACAATATTCAGGTAAACTCGTAAATTTTGTTAATTTTTTTTCATTTATGTTTTAATTGATTAATTAATAAATTAATTAAAATATTAAATTAAAATGTCCTTGAAGCCTTGAGTCATGTTTTAACAAGGAGATTGAAGAGTATTTCTTTAATATTATTAATTAATCAATATTCAGATGGTCAGGTAGTGTTTATAAGCTTTTATGGAAAGAATTTTTACTTTTTTTTGGTGCCTTTTACACTTTCCAAGTTGTGTACATTGTCTTACCATTGGAAAAAAAATCGTATGTGAAATTAATTTTTGTTAATACTTTATTTTTCATTAAATATCATTAAAATGGTTTATGTTCTGATTTAATTGAATATATGTCTAATAATATATTAAATTGCTTTCAAGATACTTTCTGTTTGCTGTTGAATACTGCCAAAGGTTTGGAGGAACAATACCAGTTACTTTGTTTCTTTGGTTCTATGTTAGCAAAGGTGGTTGAAAGGTTTTCAATCAATTTTAACACCCTTCCATGGTTGATCAGAATTCCGTTGTTCATTCCTCAAGGAATTGAAGGAACAGATGAGGCAGGAAGGAAGTTCAAAAGGATGTCATTTCGTTACTGCAATCTCAGTTATGTGATGGTCATGACTGCCATCTCCAATGGAGCTAAGAAAAGATTCCCTACTTTGAATCATCTTACAACTGCTGGTATTTTTCTCTAGATGGCAATTAATTGTACATATCTGATTAATATCTATCTGTCTTCTTGTGTTTAAGTTTTTTAAATTATAACATAAGAGTGTTATATATATAGAAATTTGTTTAATATTTGTACTAAAAACATAAGTCTAAATGTCTCTATTTTAGTTTTTTGTGTATCTGTTATCATCTTCCAGTATCTTTTAAAAATAAAACCCCTGTAAATAATCATAACAGTAAAATACAAGTTTAAATATAAATTTTTATGATTTGAGATTGTATTCAATTTGAAAATATTGAAAAAGGATTGCTGGTTAGTGATGAACAAGAACAGCTGGAGAAAGTTAAAACAGTTTACCTGAAGTATTTCATTCCAATCATTTGGGCTTGTAACTTGGTTCTGAAGGCCAGGAGAGAGGGAAGGATCAAATATGATTACACTGTCTGTGGATTAATCAGGGTCATTTTCATCTTGTTATCATTATTTGAGCATTGTTAATTGGTTAATTAACTAATTAATTACTTAATTAATTGAATTGTTTGAACAATCGGTGACTGTTTAAGCTGTAATTTCGCGTTTTTTTAGAGCCGAATCATAAAGAACAAAAATTGAGATGCCCAACGCTAGCCCAAATACGATAGTGCCCTGTTAATTCACTTTTGACAATATTTCTCGTTCATTTTCACAATAAAAATGGTTATCTGTTCCCATTGTTGGATTAACCTTTTTTATTTATAATTATTTGTCTTCATTTTGCTTATAGTTCTTCATCGGTTCTGATTTATATTACAGGAACTAATTAATTTTTGGAACGATTTGATGAATATAGCTTTGTTTGATTTTGTTCAACTGCCTCTCGTTTATACACAGGTTGTTTCGCCAGTTATTATTATTGTTTTCCTTCATATTTTATAATAAGTAATAATAATAATATTAGTAATAATAATAATATGTATCAACATTTATTTGCAAACTACAAAAATCATTTTTTAATTATAAAGTCGGTGACGTTATGCGTGTATACCTTCTTCTTCTCGTGCCTGTTGAGCAGACAAGACATTGATGGTAGGACACTGAAAGTTGAAATCTCATTTCCGTTCTTTACTTTCCTTCAATTTTTCTTCTACGTTGGATGGCTCAAAGTTGGCGCTTAGGAAACTGTTCATCTAAAATAAATTTGTATTACTATTTCCGGTGTCATAATAAATGTCACTATTTTTATCACCATCATCATTTTACGATTGAATAAGTCAGCCCTAACATTGTTCAATGTTTTTAATTACTATTTTAATATCGCGAATGATAGAAAATAAATTAAATACCATTACGCATTTTCATCATTATATCTTGGCTATTGAAGGTTGCAGAAGAAATGTTGAACCCATACGGTGAGGATGAAGATGACTTTGACGTAAACATGCTCATTGATTTCAACATTAAGGTGGCTTTTTTCGAGTTTAGAGTTATAAATTGTCATGAATTATGATTAAAAGTTTTACAGGTAGTTTTTTCTTTGGATGTCTGATAAAACAACATTAAATAATAAGCAGGGTTATTATTTCAACTAAATATTTCAAATTTAATTTAAGTTTAATGTTTTGTTGAATCGCGGAAAGGCCTCCTACTTAATTGTCGATGAGATGCACGCTGAAATACCAGTCTTGGCCAAGGACAAGCACTTTGATTCCAAGTTCGTTGACGTACCATACACGTTGGCAGCCAAATTCAAAGGGAAGCATAACGCACCTGGTTCTCCCTTAGATATTCCGTCAGTTACTATACTTTCATTATTGTTGTTTTGTCATTTTATGTTTATGTAACTGTATCACAATTAATTTTCAGTCTCACAAATTTTAGCCTAACTTATTTCTGAAAATAAATTTGAAAATTATTTAACAGTATTCCAAACGATTACAATATGTATGTTCCGGAGACATCCAAGTATAAATATTTCATTCCACTAACTCTTGTTACGTTTTTGTTATTGATACCACTTAAATAATCAGTTAATTAACCGCGTTCAAACTTGCAGCACAACCTTGATCAAAAAAAGTTTTCTCAGAAGTTTGTATTCTATCTAACATTTCATGTGCTTTTAGTCGTGTAGATTTATAATAAATATTGACTTATTGTTTTAAGTTCTACCGAATTTGTATTTGATTCATAGCTGTAATGTTCATTTTAATACTGCCTGCAGAGGGGGTGCTTAAGAAGACCACTATCTTCCAAAAAGTGGTACGTACTCTTATTTGCTTTACTTGCATATTGCATGTGCGTGCGTCTCTTAACTGTTTGTAATGGCGTGGTGTTGGGTTTGTAAATGATTTGTTATAAGCTGTTTCATATCGATTGACATTAAATTTAATGTCGATTTCACTCAGGAGTTTGAAGGCGGAGATCTGCATGCATAAATCTGCAGCTGTGAGCTGTGAAGGTATACAATGAATCGGCTTTCAATAATTTATATTTGAAACTGAATTAACTTTTACTCTAAACATTTAAAAAATTTTAAGATCATTTCAACGGGTTTTTAATTGCATTGAGTGGTTGATCGTTAGATTGTTAATAATGTTCGTGACTGTGGTGATCATATCGTCTGACGGTTACTTAATTATCAGTGCTTATTAACTTTTTTGTTTTGTGTGAAGTTAGTTTTTTTGCAAAAAAATTAAAAAACTTTTGTACACTGTTGTATTTATTTTTATTTTTTAAGAAGTATTTTTACTTTTTTAGAAAATAAAAAGCTGTTTTTACTTTTTTTTCAGAATTTAGAGCTTGAAAATAGGAAATTAAAAAGAACTGAATGTTTGGCAGTTTGAAATTTGTAGCTGTAGAATAAATAAGAATAAAAATAAAATACAAAATAGAATAGAATAGTGAATGAATGTGTCAAATGTTTTTATTTTATAAGTTTTTATTTTTAGTAACATTCAATTTTGAAATGTTGAACACTTAATAATTAATATTAAATAATGCAATTTCAATATAATAATATAATATTTACCTTTACAAAATAAAATAAAAATAAGGGCAATAATATGCATCTGCACAAAAGTGTTCAAGTTGATGTTCAGTTGAGATTTTCTACGTTAGAAGTTTCTGTGCAAACTGATTTAACATGTTCCAATGCAGCAGTTCTTGCTGCCTTCAACTTTTTCATCGAAAGTACACAAAACTCAAATCATTGTTCCAGTCCAGCTGAGAATGTTCATGAAACTTATGATGAAATTGTTGGTTCATCATTCAAGCGGAAACTGTTGAACAACTCTGTAATAAATAGATCTAAAAAGTTTAAAGCCACTTCTCTGCATGGTTGCAACAAGTCAAAAACTGTGGTGAGTACTCCACTTTATTTCAGATACAAAAATTATCTTCTCACATTAAATGGGAAAAAAGTATTTTAATTAAATTCAAAACTTTATTTTGCATGTCTAGTCAAGTTACAGTGTTAATAAAAGAAAACCTTCAAGAAATCATAATAAAGGTAGAAGTCAACACAGCAGCTTTAAAGCTCCACACAACAAGGAATTGTATGAGGATTCAGTTGAAGATTCAGATGTTAAAGAACTGCTTGAAATGAGCAAAGAAAAATCAGCTTTTAGGAGTTTGAACAATTTGAACAAATTTTATCAACCTAGGGTTAATTTACTGAAACTTTCAACCAGCCATCAGCATAAAATAAAAATAAAACAACTTACAAGGTTTGTTTAATTAGTTTTTTGTCCATGTTTATTATCATTTTGTATTAATTCATTATCTAAAATATTTTATTTAATTTTAGAAAAGTAGGTTATAAGAAAAATCTCTTAACTTCTGGTATATCCTTCAATGGTTTGAAGCAATATCAGAGGTTGGTCCTTGTGATATTATTACCTGAATGTTTTAAATCCAGAACTGTACTTTATATGTGATAGTTTTTCTGGCCTCTCTTATCAAACAACGTTTTTAATTTTTTTTTGTTAATGAAATTAGTATACATTTGAAAATAAAGAAGCTGCCATGATGAGGACGGAGGTGGATGCAATGGTGGAAGTCATCAACTGATTCCAGTGCCAGTCCATCATCACGAGAAGAAGTTTTTCAGAGAACAAACAGATCTAAAATTGCCATCAATCAAAAAAGTTAATGTGTTAACATTTACATTTGCGACGGTGCAGTTGTAGACACAAATCATTGATCTCAATTGGTCAATTTATTCAAATAAATTTGTAATTTTACAAGGTGAAAAGTTCAGATCACCCATCTTTAAATTTCAAAAAGATCAGAAATAGTTAGTAATTTTCAAAGTATTTCTTTTCATTAGAAAAAATCTGAATTCTTCTTTGGGTTCACTAATATTTTGCATACGTGTGTGGTTGTTTTTCAGACATATATGTTGATGTGAAGCCAGTGAGCAATGGGTTTGAAGCACATGCCTGCAACTGCAAGCCACCACTGCAGAGTGATCAGATGGGCTGTTCTGACGATGACTGCTTGAATAGGCACGCTACTTTTCAACTGCTTATACTTTTAATATTATTTTCATTTATTATTTATAACTTGTTTATGATTTAATCATAAATAAATAATTAAATTATTAAATTAATTTATTTTAACTTGTCATGTTAAATTTGAAATAATTGTTTTAGAACGGTAAACAATTTTTATTGTTTTTTTTTTTTAGTTTTCCATAATTTTTATTTGATTCTCCCACAATAAATAAAAATATCTGTCTCCAACCTGCAAGGATATCTAAAACTGAAGGCAATGCGACCTTTTGCCAGTGTAGGACAGAAGTGGCAACCAGGAGATTCAGAAACACCAGGACTTCAGACATCTCAAAAAGTTTCCTACCCAAGAGTGTGGGCTTGGAGTGAAGGCAACCAAACCTTTGAAAGCAGGTTGCGTTTCTGTTCACCAATAGGACTGACACTGATTTTTATAAAAATAATTAAGATCAAAAATTTGGATTTTATGACATTGATTAAATTAATGCTTTCCGTGAAACTGGTTGACAATTTTTTCTTTCATTTTCTAATCGCTATTATTTGTAATTCAAGTAAATGTACATATTTAAATTTTAAAAAATTAAAACAATTTTATAAAAAGTGAAAAACAAAAATTAAAAGTTAAATAATTGTCGTTCACTGATTTAAAAGTTTACAAAGTTCATTTAATCAGTATGGCAACCAATGAAATCGAATTGAATTAGGTCAGTTCATAATAGAGTACGTAGGCGAGGTGATGAGCGAGTTGGAATTTCGAAGGAGGATGTCGACCCTGTACTCTCACATGCAACATCACTACTGCCTGAGTTTGGAGGGGGGTGTTGTCATTGATGGCTACAAATCTGGAAACATATCCAGACTGATCAACCATTCGTGCTCACCTAACTGCCAGATGCAGAAATGGTCAGTCAGCTGTTCAAAGATTTTCTTTTCACCGTCCATTTATTCAATGTTGCTTTTTTTTCTCCTGTTTATTAAAACACTGCCGATTTTTATTTAGTTTCGCGGCATTTAATGATTACGTTGTATTAGGTCTAATTTTGTAAAGCATAAGTTTCCAAAATTAGGTTTCCACATTTCTTATTTTCCAATTTAATTTAATTTGATTTTGTTGATTAGTTTTGATGTGATTACTTTACATTTCGAGAGCAAATTGATTATTTTGCACGCCTGGTGTTCGCACAGGAATGTGAATGGAGTCTACAGGATAGGGTTGTTTGCTTTGAAGGATGTCGAACCGAATGAAGAGTTAACTTATGATTACAACTTCCATGCTTACAATGTTAACACTCAAGTACGAAGTGTTAAAAGTTTTCACTGTTATTTTCAATAGATTACTTGAATAAATCATAACATGTTTGAGACGAATAGATTGTTTGTTTGTTTTTCTGTAAACTTTTAAATTTACAGCAAGCGTGCAAGTGTGGAAGTTCGAACTGCCGCCTGGTTGTCGGTGGGAGGAGTCAGAAAGATTCATCATCCAATAGGAAAGGATCGTATTGTTTCACGATGCACCTAACCAGCAATGATAGATTGAATTGGGTCAGTTTAATGATTGAATTAGGTCAGTTTATTGTGTGATCTGATGGCATTTGAAGACCTGTGTTATTAGGATCTGGAAATTGACTCTATTGCCTTCAGTTGAGGAAATTATCATTGCTTACTTCGATTAAGTTTTACATTACATTTTAGTAACATTTTAAAAATATGTTGATGTAAAATTCGTCCACGTGATCATTAACATCGACAGTTGAACAAGAGCAGTGCCCCACCATCTTCCATCTTTGAATTGACAGTTCGTGAACGCAAAGTCGCCAAACGAAAAGTTATTTTCTTGCTGAGAAACCTGGAGAAGATGAAGAAGAAGATGATGCTGACTAATGAAAGTAATGATGTTTGCAGTGGTGGTGGCTGTATGAGAGGAGGCGTCGCAGGTATCAAGGAAGGTGCTGATGATGATGAGAAGAAGAGGGAGCAAATGACTGGTCTGTATTGAATCTCTATGTCTTCTATATTGTATATGTGCATTTGTTGGTTTTTTTTTATTGAACGCTTAAAGACACAAATTCTTGTGCCAATGTATTTTCGTTGAATTTTGTTTGTTTGTTGCTCTGTTTGACACTCCCTTAGTTCAAATTATAAATTATCCAACCGTTATTGAATAGTTTATATGATACTTGTTCTTTTTTTTCTTTTATTTTACTCTGTTAATAATTTTTAAATATCTTCATTGCGTCAACATTTTCGTTTCATTGGTAAATTTTTTCCATCCAGAAATTTTTAAGACTCAGTTTGAAGCGATCAGTACGAATAGATCAGTCAGAACAAGGTATACACACCAGTATGAATGATAACATTATTATTGGTTTTCATCATACTTTTCGGTCATCATTTCTCTCATCACAGCAGTTCACCTACTCACCGTCCACAATTCACCATCCACAATTCACCATCTACAATTCACCATCCTCCTTCTCTTCTTCGTCGTCATCTTATTTCCTTACTTTTTTTTCACTTTTCCATCATTCTTGTTGTTACACCACAAGTGAATGTTTGAACATAGGAAGCTATCAAAGGCGGAGGATGATGCAGACGTGTGCAGAATGTCCGACCTGGCACAGGTGTTCATGCAAGTCTTCAACAGTGTCAGCAGCACAACAAGTTTGTTGTCTTCTACTGTTTCAATCACTGTTGTTGTTAATATTGATGATGATGTTGTTAATGTTGTTGGTGTTGTGGTTCTTTTAATGTTTTTACCATTTTACCGTTGTCGTCATACTGTATTAATACGCTATTGTTGTCGTTGCTATCTGCGGTTCTGCTGCTGCTGTTGTTGTTGTCGTTACATTGCTCTATTAGTTCAAAATTGTGCTTATTTTTTGGAAGCGAAATTATTTTTTCATGTTATGTTGCGTTACATCTCAGCACATTACTTTGCGGTACACTACATTGCATTGCAGATGTCCGTGGAGAAAAAGTGGTCAAATTATTCTCGCATCTCTTCACTAAGAGAAGGTTGTAGCTCATTTTATAGACATTCTTCAACTTTTTTTGTGTTTTTTTTTCAAATATAACCCTTTTTCTAATTTTTGATGAGTTGGATAAGTTACGGGGGCATGATTTGAATTTTTTTAACACAGGGCGTGTGATAGCAACGAGATCAGTCCACAAATCATTGAAAGAAATATAAAGCTTGGAAAGTACACAGACATCTTTTTCACTACAGTATTATAAAATAGGACAGTTGTCATTTATTCTTGCAATGTGCTGCTTTTTACGATCGTATTTTTAATGACGTCATTTTGGCTTTGCTTTCTTTCTTGTCAAGACGTTGTTTTTGAACATAAAATTCTTTTCCTTTAATAAATTATTGCTATTCGTGTCCATTTAGTTATTTAGTTGACCAATGACGAGAACGAAATAATGACCATAGCAGACTAGACTAATCATTCCATGTTCATTCATCATCACCGTCTTCTCTACAACATCACCAGGTACTGCACCAGTGTTAGTTTCCACGATGATTTCAACAAGCTCTTCAACTTTGTAAGATGATGTGATGATGTGATGATGATAAGATATCATGGTGATATGATGTTATGGAGACGTGATGTGATATATTTTAGCAGTGTTTTTGTAATAGCATGTTTCTCTATTAGTTTTAGCGTGAGTGGTAGCGTGTCTTTTTGTTACTCAGTTATAAATGAAACGTTGTTGAGTTGTTTTTTCTATTACACTCTATGTAAATATTATGTTGATGTGGAATGGGTTGTTGTTATAATTGCAGTTGTCGAGCTGTGAACAGTGCCACACTGGTGGTACCACTCGAGAGAATTTGGAAGTGTTGAAGAGAGGCTATCGCGAGAGCATGCTCATGTTTCTCAGTTTCCTCGAATCACTAGGAGATCAACTTCCAACTGAGTTTCAACAACAACATCTACAGCAGCAACATCTCCAGCCGCAACATCTACAATGCCAACAACAACAACACTGTTTTTCTCAACATTTCATTGATGTTGATGAGAATGCTGTTGTTTATAATGGTACATCGTCTGGTACAACGCTATATATTAATGTTGGAGAAGAAGTTGAAAATGATGTCAACAGCAACATTCACGACGGAGATTATGGCCACAAAAAATCTTCTTCCACCAACATTTATAATCTCTATGACAGTTTCTACGTACCTAGCATACGAAACAAGGAGTTGATGAGAACTGACAACAGCTATAACGTCATCAACAGTAATCACATCAACAACGGATGCAATGATAGTTACATTAACGACTCAACTGTTCATCACTCCCAGCAACAACTTCAGGATCGAGAAGAACAGCAGTCAACTAATAGTGACAACAACATCACAAAACTGATCTTTGATGAAGATTCTCACGACGAAGATGACGGCATCATAAGATGCGTGTGTGGCTTGTTTGAAGACGTGGGTCTCATGTTTCAGTGTGACCTCTGCAAGGTTCGCTGATTGGCTGACCTCTTTCATTTTGTGTGGCATGAGTTGAGATGAAACGCTATTTATTTTCCTTAGTATGTCTGCAAGTACAATGCCTGCAGTTGATTCTGGTGATTTTTTTAAAATTTCAAACAGTAATTTAATTTATTGGTTTGTTTTACACTTTGGGCGTTAGTGAAGTAAATTACTGCTACTTAATTATTTCATATTTTACGTTAAATTGCAGGCCGTTACTATAGACCTTATTTTAAATCAATCATTTTTATTACGCTTAAAAAATGATATGGAGTTAATAAGGTATATTTTGAATGTTAATTCAAACGTAATTATTCTTAATTATTTATAATAATCCATGAAGACATGGCAGCACAAGCATTGTATGAACGCAGGGGAAGTTGTTGACGAGTACCTCTGCCATATCTGCTCGGGCTCAAAGTTCATCTCCATGGTATTTGCTACTGCGTCATGCTCTTTTAAAAACTTCAAAAATCAAAACAACAAAATCAAAAAACTTGTGATTGTAATTTTGATAATTTTGTTTCATAATGTTGAAATATCTTAAAAATTGAATTTTCAAAAGTGTAAAGTATAGAATTAAAAAATTCATCAATTCATTAGACAGCATTACCTTCATTGCATACGATCCAGGACATACCATTGCCTGAACAGCCAAGGAAGGATCCAGCCACAACATGCGTCTACTATCTGTCGCTCATGAAATATGATGCCAATGACTACAGTAGGACTCACGCTAACTGCAACAACATGAGTAACAACCGATCCTTCAACAGTAAAATCCTGCAAAAGAACGTTGCCAACATACAGTTGCACGTCGGTGATGCCGTGTACATTGTCGACGATGAGTACACTCCTGACTCCTCTCCACTGCCAACCAAGGACAAGTTGGATCTCTTCAAGATTGAGAACCTCTGGATTGATGAGAAGTGAATGTTCATTTCATTGCAATATGACAATCTGCTTCGTTTTGTTATGTTTTCAATGTTAATGAATGCTCTTACCATTATGATCATTTTACATTTTTATATTTAAATATGAAGACATCTTCTCATCAGCATTGTACAGACGAACTTTTCTTATTTTTCTAATTTACAATTTTGTATTTTGTAATAGAGCAGCATAAAAAAAAGACGTATATGCATTGAACTAACCAAGTTTGCTGTTTGAGAGAGGAGGGAGAGAAAGAGAGAGATCACATAGCAGCAACATATTTCTAGTCTAACCTAACTCAAAAACACATCTTAATTCATAATTATTGTATTTATTATTTTATTTCGTTTATTGCAAGAAGTTCGTATTTATTAATAAGCGTTTGATGGTGTGAACACCGACCACGCTCACAGTAACGAACGCCAAATGTTCGGCCATTACTTCCTACGTCCAAGTGAGGTCTTCAGAGATGCCGGACAGAAGTTTTTTGAACGCGAAGTCTTGAAGGCCACCACGCTATCGTGTTGCGTGCAGTTGGATCGAGTCGTGGCGAGATGTATTGTCATGGACGTCAACTCCTATCTCCTCGTTCGTTTCACCACTATTATATTATATTATATCATATTGTATTATATTATATTATAATATAATGGTATGTGATGAGATCATCGCCAACGTTAACAACAAGCACATGCTTTGCAAGTCTGCATCGCACCGATTTCCTTCATGCTACGTCATGCAAACAGGGACGGCCAACCGGATTTGATGAAGAGGACGTGTACGTGTGTGAATTCAGAGTCAACAAGGCATTCAGGACCCAGAAGAAACCACTCAAGTTTGTAAATCCCGTCAATAAGTCATCCTACTGCTTTCAATACTTCAAAAAAGATGCCGTAACCTTCAAGAGGAATTATATGGTCAGTTAATTTTACGTCATTTTTCAACTTAGGATACCTATGTAAACAAATCAATTTATCACGTAAAGAACGCTTAATTATTGAAATCCCTGACCAAATATGAATGAAAACTTCGCCTAATTTTTACATTTCAGCCGAACGGAACTATTTCCTCGGGCGAGCACCGCCACCACTACAAGCGCGGTAGAAGTCAGAGGAACAGCAAATTGAAGAATGCAGCAGCGCAAGTCCTGGTACATCTCGATGAATCTCACAGCAACTTAGAATGTGTAGGAGATAATAGTAATGTGGAGCGTCCGGGCGATAATGAAGATGAGAGTGGTAAGAAACATGTCAGCAAAAACGTCATCCAGACAAGAAAAGTGGAAGAAAAGAAAGCGAATTTAGAAGATCTGATTAAGAAATTAAAATATTCTTGATGATGTTCGTGATGTTTTTTATATATCATCTATCAATTGTTATCTCATTTCACTGTTTTTATTGTTCTCATGTTGTTAATTAGATTGCATTGTTAAGTTTTTAAAAGTATTGTTAAGTTTTTAAATGTTGTTTCTGAGTTCCTGGTGACTTATTTGTTTCGTCTTTAATTTCATTTCCTGACTCAAAATACTGAAACCTCAAAAAAATGAACCTTAGATAGTAAATTTATTGTCGATGTATTATTTCATTCGAGGATTGACTTGCTGTTAGTGGCGTGCAATGTCACGTTCATCTGCTGCATAATATTCGTCAAGCATTTTTCTGTTTTTCTTTCATTTTATTTTCATCTCAGAAGAGTTACAACCAAGAAATAAACATTCATTCAATTGCTAAAATATAACGCTGAATTCAATTTATGTATATTTTATAAAACGAAGATGAGAATGGAAATAACGCATTTCGTAGATTTTTCATTGATTTATTCTTAGAAGGTTGTTTAAAAACACAAAAACGTTGAACATGATAGTTCTCTTTTAAATGTCGTCTTGTCTACTTAATTTAAGATATTTAACATTAGCAATCAAATATGTAACAAAGGACAATGATTGATTAAGTTCATGTTTTAAAATTATTTTAAAGCTTGTAAGCCGAAAAATCACTCATTATAACATAATTATACCCAACTGATTGATTAATTAATTAATTGATTAATTATATGAATGAAGAAAACTTTCGATCACTAGTAGATACCGTAAGATACGTGACGCTAGTTATGTGCGCATTGCTTTTAAAATGTAGTAGATAGTGCAATTTAAAATTAAATAAAATCTGAATAAAGAACGACATAATTTTTTTACAAAATTCTAGAAATGAGTAAAAAACACAAACGAACGAACGAACGAACTAATGAATGGATGAACATGACGGCAATGATTGAAAATACGATGAAGAAAATGAATAACGTATCGACATTAGATGTGTGTGACTACTTTATTTTTAGCATTAACAAAAGAATCAAACTTAAAAATACGCACAAGTTCGATACCTAAAAACTGACGGTACCTCATTTAAATACCTTTCGATTTAAGACCGCTAGCCTTTACTGTATTTAAAATTATTATTATAAAACAACATCCATAATGATGAGAAAAAAAGTTAATGAAATTTCAATTTAAAAGTCTCATTAGAATCAGTGAAAATTGTAAATAAAAAAAAAAAGATGAAAGATTTAAAAAGTTCTAACGTGGTCCCAGACTTTATAGTGTAGAGGCAAAATATCTCATTCACAAAAATCCTCCTTTGAAAACTTTTAAAAGAATAAAAACTAGAACATCAGTTAACATAAAATAAAAAGAAATAACATAAGAGAGTGAAAGGACTTAGAACGACATGAAAATACGTACGTTTGATGATAATCTTTGTTTATATCTCACGACAATGAAGATGAAAATAAGCGAATACGTCTATTTATTTCTAGTTAAGAATGCAGTCGCACATTAGAAACTTGCTAAAAATAAATTTGGAGTTTTTTAACAATATTTTTTTAATATAAACTTCTCGAAATATGTTGAATTGTTCTGAGCAAAAACATTAACAAAACAAAAAAAAACACGATTGGCTAGTTATTCAATATTTTTTTTTACATCCTTAACCCATTTTTTACATTCTTAACCCATTTCATCAATTTGCTTGATGATACTCACCAATCAATCAATTTGCTTATCCTTTCAGAGTGGAGATATATCACATACCAATCACCTCATAGCACGATAGCAGAACAATGTACTTATTTACATTATGTGGAAAATGTCACCCCATTCATTGCACAATTGAGCACGTTAAAAAGAGTAAGCAATGATTAATTACGATCCATCACATTTTTGCAATGCATCTCTATATTAAAACTTTTTGAGAATGTTTGCCGATAAAACCCAAATTAAGACTATAAATGAAATAGCACGCTATTTTGTGGCTCATGTAACTTGCTCTTGTGAAAATTCGAAATAAAATAGCAGAATTATTTCAGTGGAGTGCTAGGCGAGTGCAAACAATTTAATGAACGGTTTGCTGTACCGGTGACTAACTAACTCTACCTTAGAGGATGAGCAGCTCCATGCGACCATGTGACGTACGACTGATTAAATAAAAATAAATTACTCCGTCAATGAATAAAATAACCGACACGATCATCATTTAAAATTAAACTTTATGTACACGTAGATACGAAAGATCAGTTGATGCACTGCACTGATCAGTTGATAACGTAACCGACAGGCCCGACAAGCAACCGACGAAAAGAATGAAACACATGATCTATCGAGTTGAGTTGGCAGTTCTGAATGTCATCATTGGTCTGGTGCCTGCCGACTGCCTGAGACGCCTCAGTGGATTGGTGTCCAGGCTGGCACTGTCCACGTCGTCATCCGTGCTAGCCAGGGGAGCCGGTCGGCCCGGGATGATGGGAGCTCGAAGGTTCTGATTGCGAGAGGCGGTGGAAGATGGGATGAAGGATGGCATGGACGATGGCTGTTGAGCTGATGACGATGAAGATGTCGATGATCTTGAGACACCACCAAGGTTCACCGTTCTCAGGGAACTTCGTTGTTGGTCTTGTTGATCTGTCGATGTACCGCTCACGTTCTCTGACGAAAGTTGTGACTGAACTCTGTTTGAAGGATCTGTCCTTCTTGGAGATGAACTGCCTGAAGAAATTAATGCAACAACTTTCAAATCGTTTTATTTCAATAACTGTGAACATCACTCATAAAAACAAATAGAAAAGTGGATGGTGTTGGGAATAATGAGTAAACTACCTGGTTGTCTGTTGTCGTATGAAGATGCTTGGCTGTTTGAAGAAGATGGGCTGTATGAACTGAGATTTTTGTTGAGTTGAATGGATGCTGTTGACGTAACGTTGTTGTTTTCATTCTGAGATCGCTGTTGTTGTTGTTGCTGTAAGTGGAAGTGGTGGTGATGCTGCCTCTCAGTAGATGATGTCTGCGTAGGTGGTGGAAAGTTTTGTGACTTCAAGAGCAAAAATCACATCACGTAGCGTAAGTTAACAAAGTTTGAAAATAACAAAAATTGTTTTTAAAATGGGTATTTAAAAATCAAAAAATGTTAAATCAACCAAGAAATAATAAAACTAACACAAAAATAAATCTAAGTCCCGAAAATAAATTGAACTAACAGAAATTTTTGATTTTTTGTCATCATCGAGACCATTGTAGTGACCATTCAAATCTCTATTGGACGAGGCCGATGATGATTCAAACATGCTTCCTTCATCCTCAACATCCACATCATCGCCAACGTCAACATCATCTGCATTACTATCTCTGTCATGCTCATCCTCACGCACATCATCAACATCATCATCATGTTCATCGTGCTTATCATGAACTGGGGAATGACTGTTGTTATTATTGTTATTGATGTTACTGTTGTTAATGTTGTTGTGGTTGTTAGGAGAGTTTGCATTGTAGCCTTCAGTTACTGATCTGCTCGCATCTCTATTGCTGTTGTTGCTGTTTAGTGAATTAGGCGACGACGTGTTAATTGGCTTGTTGTATTTATTCATGTGCGGTGATATCATCGAGGCTGCTGTACTAATGTTGTTGTTATTAGTGTTGTTGGTGTTGTTGTAACCGTTGGACGGTGTATTTGTTCGAATATGATCATCATCTTCATCCTTTAAAACATTTTGAATTCTTCTATTTAGCCGCTGATCGCTACCACCCCCGCCACCACCTTCTTTGTAACCAGACTTCAACTCTGGCCCACCGACCTTGACATTGTAAGGAGGATCGACGTTCAAACAACTCCCTCCAGTGGCACCAATCTGGTTACCGTCATCGACATTGCCACCCCCTTCATTTTTACCATTGGCTTCATTCTGATTGAGGTAAACGGAGAGGCCCAGGTTCTCGAAGCCGGCAAGCAGGCCCTTCATCTCATCATCCTCTGTGACAGTCGACGTCGTGCTCAGCATCTTCAGCACCTCATCCATCAGTGATGAACCGGAATCGAAATCACTCTGCACGTTGTTGCGTGTGTTAGTGGGTTAATATCAATTTATTATTTCATCATCATCATCATCATCATTATTATTATTATTATTACTCTTATTCAGTTACCTGTTGTGCATTTTTATACATTTAATAGACGTGGGCATATGGACTTTTGGTTTAAGCCCACTAATTATAAATATAAATAACAGTATAATATATAATAATAATAATAAAATAATAATATAATAATAATATAATAATAATATAATAATAATAATTATATAATAGATATAGATAAATATTAATTATAAATAAGAAATCTGAATTGTGACTCATTACACTTCTTTCAATATTAAACCACAAGTACCCATCATTTAAATCGCTCAATCAATGCCATTCAATCACCGTGAAGAACTCACACATGGAAGTTGATTGAGGTGACGATGATATTATCATCATCCATTGCTTGTAAACATGAAAATCATAAACTTTAAATAAATAACGTCAAACGACAACTCGATGAATCAGATGGTCAGTGTGAACGGAAAAAAAGCCAAAAAAGTTGAGAAATTAAATAAAAATATGAAAAAATTTACGGAAAAATTTGGGAGGGAGAAGTCGTCAAATTCATCATGTTGTTGTTCTCTTGTGGTATTCATCAGTGTAGAGCTGAGTCGGAGGGGTGATGATTTGTTGATGGGATTCATGATAATGATGAGGATTCATGATAATGATGGGGATTCATGATAATGATGATGTAGTAGTGGCAATGATGATGACGAATGATGATGATGATAATGATGATGATATATGAAACCACATTTCAGACAGGATTTTAACCAATTATTCATATAATCGACCGACCACCTACCTAACCAAAAGTTCAAACTGGTTCGTTGATCTACTCACTATCAATCAAATACATCTAAAACCTCCTTAAACCAACCACCAATCAATTAAATAATTGTTCAATCATTCAAGCAGCAGACGAATCAACTGAGCAATTAAACAGCCGACCAACCAACCAACCAACTAACCTCGAAAGACTGAATCCAGATTGTTTGCCGGGTCCAAGTATTTTGTGCATGGGCAGACTCGTGCGCGGACCTCTCAGGTCATCTTCACTTCGATCTGTCAACCAGCATCAACGGGAAGGGGAAATATCTTTAATACTCCAAGCATTTATCAACTTATATCGAAGCATTTATAATAAGCTCACCATAAAAACTGACATATCATACCCGGACAATCAATTTGTACAAGTTAATCTGTAGAATTAGCAATAACAGAAAATATAACAATACAACTAACGTGCCGATGAAGCTTTGAGAGGGAGCTTGTCCAAGTTGTTTCCAATGAATGAAACATCTCCATACATCTCTCCATCCGTGCCGACGTGGGTCACAACGCGAAAGTCATTCTGTGGATAGCTGATGAGGCTCGGAGTCATCTTGTACTGGTTGCGCATTGACAGGCGAGCTGATTCTTACGTACAAAATTTCACACCATTAGAAATAATAATTGAAAATAAAAACAATTATTATTATTATTACTACAATTATTATTATTATTATTATTAAGGTTTTGATCGAAATGCATGTCATGGAATCAACTTACATCAAAAAGAGACAAATACATAACCGACCACCGCATAACGTAATACGATACAATATACAGATACTATATATTCTGTTTGCTTCCTAAAACAAGAAAGAGAAACAGAAGGCAGCGTGAACACGATCAAGTTATCAAGTAACTCATCAACTATAGCCACACCTTACAACAGTTTTTAACAAAACATAACAACAGTACAGTACAAAACAACCAACAACCAATTTCTACAGTGCAAAGTACAGCACATGTATCTAGAAAGAACCAACCAGTCCTGTTGAGTTTGATCTTTCTGAGTAGCTGATTGGATGGGACGACCTCGATGTAGGGCGAGGAACATCGGGGGTCGAAGAAACCAGCTGTGATGTTCGAGGAGGTCTCCATCAAACCCCTCCACATGTTCGGTTGGGGTGGGTAAGGCGGACTGGTTGATTGATGACGAGTAGGATGATGAAAATTATGATGATGATGAGGCTGATGAAAGTAAATAATACATACGATCATACATCTTAAATAAATCACATAACTAGGAAATAGAGAAAGCTAACTTCTTTGAGAGAACGGTGATGATGGATTGTGATTTGTACCTGAGAAATTCCTCATTCATCTGCCCATCAACAGGTGTGTCTTTCAACATTATCACCTGCATTGCCTTCATCTGCAACAAACCAACAACGCAACGTTAATTGCAACATCTTATTTTAACACATGCACCGATGTTGATTTTTAATTTTCAAATAAAAATTTATTTCACAATATTTTTATTTTGAAATAATTATCAGTCGTTGATAATTAGAAACATTAAAGGACCAGAATCATGAAGGATTTTTGTGAACAATTAGTATAAAATTACAAGGATATAAAAAAAATTTCAGATAAAAAAACAATGCATCTCTTTATGGTAAATAAATAACACACAAAAGGTTGTTGGTAACATAAATAACCATAGCGCCTTAAATTAATGATAAAAGGTAAACGCAAAAAAACCAGAAAGACTGAATGAATGTATGAACGATGAACATGAACAAGACATGTAGGCAACAAGAACAACCAATACAGCAATCCCAACAACAACAACAACAATCCCAACAACAACAACAATCCCAACAGCAACAAAAACAACAACATCATTAGTCAGTCAGTCAGAGACAAACGCGACACTAGAAGGGACCCACCTTAGAAATAGTGCTGTGTATGTCCTGAAACTTAGGCCGTTCGGTGGGCTCGTGTGCCCAACACTGAAGCATCAGGCTGTACATCTCATCTGAACACCTCACCGGGCAGGGTAGCCTCTTCAAACTTGGCGCATCTACCAACTCCATGATCTTACGGGGATGGCAAGTTATTCTGCGTCAACATCACATCTTCCCCGTCGTCACATCACATTATCACCAGTCACCATCATTAATAATACTTTTCTTATCTTCTTTATCACCAAATCTTGCATTACAACTCAAATCACAACGTAATTAATTATTACTCACAATTACAATTTGTTAACACCAAACTGAAAACACTATTTCACTATCATAATTGGCAAAAAAATATCATCAGCGACACCATCGGGCATTTCAATTTAGTCTCCTCACCTCCAGTCCGGTCATACCCTCCCAGGGTTGACCGCCCCCCGAGAACATCTCCCAAAGCAGAACACCAAATGACCAAACATCGGAGGATGTCGTGAATCTTAAAAAGTTTATGCATTCTGGGGCACACCTGTGTTCAGTATGAAGACGAGGAAGCAAAAAATGATAATGATTAGTTTATAAGTCAACGTCCTACCTCGGAGAACCGGGTCTCTGGACGCAAAACGAAGATTGATTGATTAGTTTATAAGTTGTAAAGTTATCATTCAAGAGTTCATCTCAATATGAAAATTGTGTATACGTTGTGTGTGTGGTGTGTGTGTGTGTGTGTGTGTGTGTGTGGTGTGTGGGTCGTCTGTTGCTTAACATTTATTTAAATAAGATCTTTGCAAGTGATCATTAGATAATGCTGCAACACTATCATCAACTCAAAGTACAATAACACTTCTGAAAACAGCTAGCTAGCAGATAAATTTTACACAAATTGCTAATTCAAATAATAATAAGAAGAATAATATTAGAAAATAACAAGAATAATAATAATAATCATAAGAAGACGAAAAACCAAAAAAAAAGTAAAAATAACAACAATTACAACTGTGAAGAAGAATGATACTGAAGAGTAGATGAAAAGAATTGTGAGTCATCAAACCATCTCAAAAGCATTATGTAACTAAGTTACAAACATGGGATAATTTTTAAATAATTCATTCGTTCATTCAATCATTCATTCATTAAACTGTGGCTTTAAATTTGTAAGAAAAAATCTTGTAAAAAATGATCTGAATATACGTCCGTTCATTCATTCGTTAATTCATTCAACCACTCATGCACTCCGTCATTCAATCAGTTGATCCGGTATCATTTCAATTGTCATACATTTATCTCTTCAATCATTGATTCATCCGAACAATCATTCAATCCTACAAATCCAATAACAACAACACTCACCATCTGCATCCTCATCAATAACATCAACAACATCATCACGAACATTAACAATGTCAACAGCACGAACAAAAACCACACCAACAATAAATAGTAACAACAACAACAACAACATCAACAATAACAACAACATCATCAACCAACCACGCAATAGGCAGCTTGAGTCCAGTATTCAGATGTCCTTGATAGTAGTCAGAACCAACACCCAGAGCTTTTGAGAGACCAAAATCACTTATCTTAACCTGTTTGTCGTTTTTACAAATCCTCATGATTAGAACTAATGTAATTATCATAATAATCCTTATGTAACTATCCGTCGTCATCATATAATCATTGTCATCAATAAACGAGTGAATGATAATGATTCGATGATGACAATTGGATTACAGTTGATTGAGTGATGGTGACAAATCAAAATAAATGATTGGATGACAATGGCTGCTGATGGTGATGATGATAATGATAACAAGCAACGACTGAAACAACATCCAACATTTCATTATAATTGCTGTATCTAATTTAATTGGATTGAATTAGAAACGATGAATGAATGAATGAATGAATGAATGAATGAATGAATGAATAAATAAATGAATGAATGAACGAACGAATGAATGAATGAATAAATGAATGATCAAAAGGCAAAAATGAATGGAAACTTGCATGAACAAATGCAAAAATGAATGGATTAGATAATAATTAACAGGGTGAATGGACGGAAAGTTGGAATGAATAAATTTATACGTGATTAAGATAATGATTAAATATGAAAGGAAGTGAAAGATGGAATAAATAAACAAACAAATGAATGAATGAATGAATGAACGAACGAACGAATGAATGAGTTAGGATAAATTTTATGATGAATATATTTACTCTTAATCGTGTTTCTATGTTGAATGTAGAATAATCAATAGTTTAAACATCATCATCATCATAATCATCACCATCATCATCATCATCATCATAGTAAGCATGTTTGTATAAATGAAATAATTTGGAGAATCACACCAAACGATCACTGGCTACGGTACCAACTATCAAACTACTTGTATTAGTACTTGAATGATGATGGCAATGAATATAAACATGACGACGACGATGATGATGATGATATCTGAAAAAAACTATGACGAAAGAAATGATGTAATGGTAAAATGAATCATACAATAGCACACTCCATGGTGACTGCTATTGAACTAACACGCAATAAAATTCATTCTATACTTTCAAATATATACAGGCTACAAAAAATAGGGAAACACCAACACTAATAGACTACATGAAGTAGAGAGAGAGAGAGAGAGAGAGAGAGAGAGAGAGAGAGAGAGAGAGAGAGAGAGAGTATGTGTGTGAGAAAGAGAGAGAGTGAAAGCGAGTGAAAGAGTGAAAGAGACACACAAACATACATAGATATAAGGAGAAACATAAATTAACGTTTAATATAAACAAACATATGTATGGTTAACATGACAACTACGTACAGTTTAATAGTACGTACAGTTTTGTTAGTGTGTCTGTACTTGTGTATGTGTGTGTGTGTGTGTGTGTGTGACATCTGACATGACATGATGTTACATGGATGTAAAAGCAGCGTGTGTTGTTGTCATTGTTGTGATGTGTGTGTCTGTGATGTGAGTCAAATGTTTTTAGCATGCTACGGTGAGTAAGTAGTGGTGATTATGTAATGATGCTGTTGAAGATGAAAAGGAATAGGTGTATGTATGTGAAAACAAAAAACTAAGGAACAGTGAATGTGAAGACAGACTAAAGAATGGTTAGAAAAAATTTAAGTGGTAGTAGTTAATCTATTTTGATTTATTATATAACTATGTATAGTTCAGCAGAATAATGATGGTAATTGTAAAAACTGCAACTGAACTGACGGTAATTTGAAACAATTATTAAATTATTATAAATGATGTCCTGGCCCATAAACAACCCAACAACCCACCATCATCTTCTCCATCTTCATCATCATCAAATTCATCATCATCATCTTCGTCGTCGTCATCACATTATCATCGCCATTCATTTTAATGTCATCACCATCAGCCCCTCATCATCTATCATCTTACTCGTTGTCATCGTCACCACCACCATCGTCATAAAAATTAGCCATCATCATAAAATACGATACGATTCCGCCGCTATCATCACCCTCATCACAACATCATTATCGTCTTCTTCATAACTTTTACACTTAACATACTAACACATTAATTTCTCAAAGCATGGCCTTCATATTATTCTTAGAGCAAAAAAATCAAAACAGCAGAAAAAAACAAAACGAAACGAAAAATTGCAGAAGAAACGAAAATACTTAAAAAGCCATAAAACAAACTAATAACACTGTCTGATTTTTCCAAGCTACAAAGAAAATTAAAGTAAAAGAAAAATGTAGAAAATTACATCAGAGAAAGAGAAAGAGAGAGAGAGAGAAAAAAGAGTGATAGAAAGAAACGAATAAGGAATGGAGTGAGAGAAATAAATAAAGAAAAAGAGATAGGGAGAAAAAAACATGAAGGCCTTAAACATCAAATTATCTTTGTCTGTGTAGGGAGCAATCTTAAAGAATTATATGCACATGTTTGTTCATTATGTGATGCGTTTATGTTGCTGTTATTCCTGCTATTGTTATTGGGTCGTTGTTAATGTCATTATCGCTGTTTTTATCGGTGCTATCATCGTTAGTCTTATAGGGTTTTATGATGTTTCGTTGGAAGAATTTTCATCTATAAACATATGTGATATCACATCATTTCATGATTACATGACTGAAACTGCTTGCTCTCATGAGCGTGACCGACCATTATCATCTAAAATAAATAATATAGGATATATTTGTGGAAAATATAAGATGGAACAAAATATTTAATGCAACATAAACATAAAAAAAGAATGCATGCATACACTGTAATCCAACTGCAACATGAATGCACTTGAAAAATTTACAATAAAATGAAAAAAAAAATGAAGAAGCAAATGTTAACTGAAACATGACAAAAGAAGCACAACAACACACGCGCACCGAACATGAGTTGTAACATTCTTGACCCAGTAAGCAAGCAAAACGAGCAATGAAACAGAAAACAAACTGAAGTGTGAAGATACATATGCAAAAGGGAATAAAAATCATCTTTTCTGAATCATCTTCATCTTTAGTAATCATTATCGTCATCTTCGCTGTCAAGAGTGTTAGGACTATTAGTTATCATCATCTTTTTCATCACCATCATCATCACCATCGTCTTTTTCTTTTTTACAATGCTATCGTGATCATCGTTGTCATCAACATCACCACCTCAATGGCACACAATACAGACACCGACACAATTCTATCATCATCAGCACACGAAATATTGTTAAAAAATACACAAAATAATGAGTTGAACTTTTTTAATTTAGAACAGATAGAACTGGGAATCATTAGGTAAATGAGGATTGAGTCACATTTTAAAAGAGTTTAGCAACTGTTTTGAAGCCATTTGAAAAACAGGGTGTGGTGTGTGACTCTTGGCAATATGCCATGATTCTATACTTATCATTAACAAAACTATAAATTTTGTAGCATTATTTCTAACTGATAACTTTATAATCTATCAAGATTAACCAAATGCTTGGAGATTGGAGTTAACCTTATTGAGAACCTCAGTGTAGAGTTAGTTTCTTCAATGCAAGATGCAACCAAGACTCACTGCACATTATAATGGAGGGATACTCATTCACACAAATAAGATCTCATGAACTGTATGTACAATTCTGCAGACATCTCAATTGTTTATTGAAAAATATGATATTGCATCTAAACTTCTCAACTGGTTTTGTTTTTTGAATTTAAACCCAGAATTAACATTTAAAATCTAACAATCATAAGAATTGAATGGACTAGTTTTAGGATAATGCGCTTATTTTATGTGTGAAATATGATTTCGAAATTATAAATTCAAATTTGTTCAATAAAAATTGAAATGAAAACTAAAAAATATTTCTCCATTACATTGCTTCCCTGAAGCTTGTTTCATAGAAAAACGAAAGTACCAACATGTAAGTATGTGCCTATGCAATTATGCATGTGTGTGTGTGTGTGTGTGTGTGTGTGTGTGTGTGTGTGTGTGTGTGTGTGTGTGTGTAGGTTGTCATTTATTCAAATAAATGTGATTCTGCAACTTGCACTGAATTCACATCACAAATAACTGGAAAACATACTTTGCCATATAATTAAACCATAATTCATTCCTTCACTTATTCACTCCTTCATTCATTCTTTCATTCATTTATCCATAATACACTTATTCATCACTGGTTGGCTAATGAATAATTTATTCATTTCCTTAAGCACAATCATTTATTTGTTCAACTTTATTACTCCAAGCAAGAGTGTTTGAATAACTTTTGAAAGCCAGAAACACACGCAGACACATGAGTGGACGAGCGCATAACATATTCACACACAAACACACGCAAACATAGACCTAGATACAAAGATTCTCACACACATACACACATCCATATATTCACACATACATAAACATAGATATTCACACACGCATACATAAACAAACACACATAAACACATGCACAGACATAAGCAAATACATTCACAGACCTACATGTTAACACAGACTTATTTATTGCTTCCTGCACTTAAATTTTTTCAGGTCTCAGGATACTAGCTAATCTTTTATCAGCAACTGATGAAACAAAACTTTAAATTATAAAAGTTTAATTTTGATTTAAATTATTTTTCAAATTTGATATGAGATACAAGACAATTTGTCAAAATAGTTGTTGGCAGAATAACTATTAAGGAACAAATTATCAAAACTAATTTTGTAGACATTTACAATAACTAACAAACAAACAAAAATCCAAACTTAATACAACTATTTTAATTGACAAATCATCAAAACAATTATTCATTTTATCCAAAAATCAATAAATAAATAAATCAATCAGTCAGCAAGTCAGTCAGTCAGTCAGTCTGTCTCTGTCTATCTGCCTGTCTGTCTGTCAGCCCACTAAGAACCATCCTGAACCATCCAGTTGATAAACCAGACAATCAATCATTCCATCAATCAATCAACCAAACAATTAATTACAAGATCAACCAGTTAAACAAATGATTAACCAGTCAACCAAAAAATAAACTAACTCTCTGATCAATCGATCAATTAATAAACCAACAATCCAAACAACAAACCCGCAACCAACCAGCCAGCCAACCAACAAGAACTACAGCAACAGCGGCAACAACAACTACCAACCTTATCCTTCGCAAACATGAGTACATTCCTGGCAGCGAGATCTCTATGCACCAGTCGGTTCTTCTCGAGGTACATCATAGCGTCTGCCAGCTGAGTGACCAGGTTGTACAGGTGTTGCAAGGTGAATGTCGTCTGCATGCTGGCATCTTTCAGGCATTCAAGAAGAGATTTTAGTGGAGCAAGTTCTGTTACCTTTAGGGACAATTAGTTAATTATTGTATATTATTGTTATGATACATATTTATACACATTCTTCGTAAAATATAAAAATACAAAAAAAAAGATTCATTTAATAAGAAAATAAATTCATTTAGTGACTGTTAAATTAAGAGTTAAATAATAGCCAACAAAGTGATTTGATTGTGAACTTTGTTGTATTTAATTATTTTTTAAACATGTATGACTTAAAGTATCATGTGTAGGTGGTCCAAGGCAGAGCAAGCAGTACAATACAATTTTAAATTAAGCAAGAAAACAACACTAGATTTATTACACCTCACATCATCAACATCTATTGTTAGTTAAATTGGTATTGCAGTTAAGTATGATCTAAGCTTTCAAACCAATGATAACCACATTCACCATAAAATTAATTTAATTATACTTGTACAACCTACATTATGCATTCATATGTATGCTCATCAAAACTGGCATCTCAAATATGAATAACTTCAAAGGAATGTGTTACTAATCATCACCATGATCGTGCTACACTGTCAAAAATAAATGAACAAACTGCTCTGAAATGACATGGTCCATAATATCTTAACAATGCACAAACATTCACCATCTCAGTTCACTTGTAATGTATACAATACATACATGTGAGTAAACACACACACAACACCACACAAACAAACACATATCAGCATTTATTTTAAACAGAGACACACACACACACACACATACACACACACAACACCACACAAACAAACACATATCAGGCATCATTTATTTTAAACTGACACACACACACACACACACACACACACACACACACACACCACACACACCACACACACACACACACACACACAACACCAGACATTTATTTTAAACTGCACTCTCCATTGTCTGAGTGAGAATCAGCATTAATTTGATAGATTTAGTTTCTCTGAAAAAGACTACTTAAATGAGTTGGAAATAAATTGCATTGAATGAAATGGGGAGAGCACATTTTCACAACAAAACAGGATAACATAAACTTAAGTTAGATATAACAAACAACAAGCACATAAAAATGCCATGACATGCCTTGCAACACAACTCTGTTTGATCATTACGTTGGTTGCTACATCAAGGTAAAATAACTTCATAAGGATAAATTATTTTTATTTGAATTATTATTATTACTATTATTACTATTATTATTGACGTTATTTTCCAATGTCATCCATGACAAACAAACATAGAAACAAACATGCATTTGTATAACTGCTGCTGAAACATAGCAACTGCTGCTGAAACATAACAAGGATAAGAAAGATGGCACTTATACTAATTCATTTTTGTTCTTTAGTTATACATTGAAGATGATATGACAGATTGCTGCTTTTTCCAAATATCAATGTTAAACATTTGGATAAGAAGTTTGTTCAAAACTTAACAAAAATTACGTTCCTTTTCAGTGTGGATTTCTTTCAGACAATTTTTTTGTGTAAAGGTTATTTTTCTTTAAATGTGCATACTCATAAGCTTTTTAAAATTTCATCATTTCAAAAAGTTATTAAAATGTAAGAATGTAAAATTAATCAGAGCATGATAGATAGCTCCAATCTCCTACAGCCATCAATTTTATACAAAAGTGCTCACTAATAGGAAGAACACAAAACAATATATTAAAATTGTTAACCTTTCTCTAGCCAACAGGCCCTTTAAATGCATTTAGACAATAATAAACATGTTATATAGATAACTAAGCTGATTGTATTCAGGCTAAATAATGTTTACAACTAAAATTGTATCAATAAACACCCCTGTTCTTGAGATTTAGACAAATCAAATATAATGACATATATATCCAGTTCCTTTCTGATCTCAAAATGAACAAATAAATAAATGAATAATCAAAATTCAAAAGTCTGCCAGAAATAAATCTTTGCAAGTAAATGAACAACAATGGCATATCAATAAGTCATAAATAAATAAGTAAATACATACGTACGTACGTACATACGTACGTACGTGTACGTACGTACGTACGTGCCTACATACATACATACCTACATACATACATACATACATACATACATACATACATACATACATACATACATACATACATACATACATACATACATACATACATACATACATACATACATACATACATACATACATACATACATACATACATACATACATACATACATACATACATACATACATACATACATACATACATACATACATACATACATACATACATAGAATTGAGACAAAGACATATGAGCATGTTCAGTTGAAGTTTGTTTGTAGAGCACTCATCAAGAAAGGGCATGAGTCTGCCTACGAATATAAAAAACAAACAATGGAATAAATGGGTTAGTACATGGAAGAAATTCATATGATGGTAGTGAACAAGCCACTAACTACACTGTAGAGAGATTAAAGTTGAGTGTACAACATGCAAGAAGGTAGTATGGGAAGATATTTCATTGAATTAAAACAAAAAATTAAAAAATATATACACACCTCTAAGAAATTAAAAACTATTACAACTACGGACAGAAAATTGCCAAACTATGTTGAAACATCCTTTGACAGCACAATATCTATCAACCACAAAGAAACATTATCAAATCTGTTTTGAGCCATTAAACCACTTTTATAACAGAAAGTGTCCATGATCAGTCAAATAATGTTGAGGTTTAACATTTGTAACAATCTATTCATGCCTTGCACCAAAAAATTACAAGATACGCTATTCACAATTTATAGAAAAAAAATTATCACAAAAAAGTTATTTAGAAAATTTTAATTATCGAGTCACACTCACAAGTTTCAAGAAAAGAGTGAAACTTATCTAAAAAAAACATTGTAAATTAAGATAACACATTACATCACTGCAAAAGTTATTTCAATAAATAGACAGCAAAAAGTTTTATCAATGATTAATAAATCACTTGATATACAGTTATCAGGTGATCTAGAGAGGTCTCAACAATTCAAATCTCATATCCTGATCACCAACTGACTGTTAGTAGCAAGCAGAACTGCCACTGGTAAATGTGATGTTATCCTTAAACAGGCAATGAATATCTAACAAAAAATAAGACAGACTCCCAACAAAGCAACAAAAAAATCAGTGATCAATACAGACAATAATGGATAAACTAAAAGGAGACCCAAAACTAAACTTGAAAATATCATCAACATTTATTTTCCTTATATCAACAACTACAAATATATAGATGAAACAAACATTTATCAGAAATCTAAAAACCTGCCTGTATGCCTTCTTATATTTTACAAGGGTTCTTGAGAAAAACACATTCATGACTGGCCCACAACTTCAAATCACAAATATTTTAAAAAATATTTCTCTGTTGCAAAATATTGCTCCATTGTAAGATTGTGGTTAATAAATATGTGGTTGTTTGAAAGTCTTAAGTCTTTGTTGTGCATGTATGTGTTGTGTATACAATGTGTGTGTATATATATATATATATATATATATATATATATATATATATATATATATATATATATATATATAAACGCCAAACATTCGGTAGAATTTATAGAATATTGTAAAAATTATGGTCTATTACCAACATATATATATATATATATATATATATATATATATATATATATACACACAATATATCCATACATGGATTCACGCTTAAACAAATATAACTTTTAAATTTTTACCCCATATTTCATTTCAGAAAGTTGTATTTGGTTGCTTTCATGTTAAAAGTAGCAGTAGCAGCAGCAGCATGTGGTGCCTTGTGTGTATTTGTATGTGTAATCTGACTCATTGCCATAAAATAATTCAAAATAAAAATTAAACTTAAAAAGTTACAAGTATAATAAATAAATAAACAAACAAACAAACAACTAGACAAACAAATGAATAAAACCGTAAAAAAGACTTAGATTCTTCAATTGCAAAATTAATTAGAGAGACATCTAAAATCTTCATCATGAATGTTAATGAAACATAAACCCTCAAGTCATTTGTCCAATGTAATTTTGTTACGTGATATTATTACTACGTGATGCAACTAAATAAACATAAAGTCACAAACATCGTAATGTAACAAAAAACCTCGCTTAACCATCTAAAATTACAAGAAAATGTACAGGCAGAAGAGAACAGAAGCAAGCACGAACCATCATGTAGCTATCTTCCCCCAGAACGATTCCATGCAGTTTTATGATATGTGGATGACAGATGGAGTGCATGATGGTGGCCTCTTGAAGAAAATCACTCGTCTGACCTTTGACCTGGTCCTTTGGTAGGCACTTGATTGCCACCTGTACCTGAGAAATATAAATACAGTGATGAGTAGAGAAGATTCACTAATTTGTGAAAGTTTAAAGACAATGAGGAACAGAATTTATATTTCAAATTAATAGTTTCCAAGTAGCACCAGATGTTAATAATAATAAAAATGAAATAAAATGTATTGTTGTTCATGCCATTGAGATGTTTTTTTTATGGTTTTAAATTTTTATTCTGTTCACATTATATCATAAATATGGGGCTCTTAAAAATTGTTATTTAAAAAAAAGCATATCCATCCATAAACTGCAGTGGCAGAATAAATCATGAAAGAAATGCTGACATCCAGAACATTATGGGATATCAATTAGTTGTGAATTCAGCATCTTTTGAATAGTAATTCATTTAAAAACTTTTGTTTTCGTAAGTATAAATCATTATTTAACAACAACAAAAAACATCTATAAATACTAAATGAGAAAAAGACCAATTCTAGGTATGTTGCTATTTATATAAAGCACATTTATCAGCAATACTTAATAGTTTTGTTTCAATTTTCGGCTTTGGAATAATAAGCCAATGTGTTTCCTCTGATATGTCCTGATTCAAATACAACTGCATTACTTAGCATTGCTTTTCATATATTTTCTAAAACATGTTTTCAAATATGAGGAAGAAGTAATTAACACTGTGGAAATAGCGCTATAAAAATTTCAAAGATACGTTGAATGTGAAATTAATTTAAATTTAATAACAAATCAAAGAATAAAAATGTTTTCACGAAAGTTAGGAAAACTAATAAAAAGAAAATAATAATCAGAAGCTTCATTAAACCACTACAAGCACATTTAATTTGAGACTCATAACAAAATTACCCAAACTAAAATGTTTAATAATTGCCATGAAAATATTTATGCTACTATTGCATAAGTGCACATGAATATAAAAAAAATATTAATCTCAACTTAAATAGCTTTCTAGTCCTAATTTAATTATCATCCCTAGTGTAGTATAGCATATTTAATTATTTAAAAATGAGTAGCTTATTCATTCATTCAATCAATCATCCATTCATTTGTTCGTTTATTTATTTATTTATTTATAATAATTTATTTATTAATAATTTATAATTTTGTGACAAAGTTCCACAACAATATGTGAACGTAAATACAGTTAAAATAAATTTTATTTCATAAAATCATTTCAATAACTTTTCAACATGGCATAAAACTAAAATTTACGGTGAAAATTTTGAAACCTTATAAATTAAACGCTTTATTAGTATTGGTAAAAATGTAATTGAAGTAAAGTAGAAACTCTCATTGGCAGCATGACTGTCCTCCTCATTCATAATTTAAGCTTTGAACATTGCAACTGATAATAAAGACCATGTTGGCACAAATATATAAACTATATACAGTTCAGATGTTATTAAAAGGTAGGCTTCAACAAATGTCAAGCTGAGTAAATAAATAGTTAATTATAGAAGCAATTAACTGCTAATCTTGCATTAAACAATAAAGAAGTGTTATAAAATTTAAAAGAGTCTCTAACCATTACTTCAACTCATACCTACCATACCAACAAAACTAATAAAGATACGCAATGTATATATTAATATTCCACAGTCCCATGAAACCAACACGCATTCATTAGCACCCTACCACACAAACTACAAAACGTACATTAAAACTTTTCATTAACAACAACATTACCACACAAGCAACCTACAATAAGCAACCTACGACACTTTCGATCTCCAAATAACATCACCTAAAACATCCAAATTAGCGTCAGCACAAATAACTTGCATCGGCCAACAAAATCAGCACAAAACGAACCTTCTCACCACTATCCTTGGTCCACACTCCTTGCTGCACACAACCGAACTCACCCCGGCCGATGACATTCAACAACATGACAGACTCCTCTGCTATGATGTGTTTCATGGGACTGGCAGAGCACAGGTTGATGGGCGGTGATATGGAGATTGTCGTCTGTGACTGGCTGCTCTGCTCCTGCCCGCTCTTCGATAGGATCTGTCGGTTGGTTACAAAGTTTTACTGTATCTAAACAGGCTACCGCCACAAAGTTGTGCCACTTTTGAATCTAGTAATGAAAACCAAGTGCTTTCTAAATAAGATTATTCAGAATTTTGAGTTGGAACTTTTTTATGTATTTTAAATGACAGCATACACCACGCAGATACACTTGAATAATGTGCTAGAAGAAAAATGATAAAGAAAGTGAAAACAACATTATAAAAATTAAAAGGGGGATAGTTAGAAAATAAAAAACAAACAAAAACAAAGAAATGGACACAAGTAAAATGGTCGTTTAAACACATTGTAACACCACACAGTTAATTTATGATGTGTCAAGAAGAATAATCCTTATCTAAATGCTAATTATTTCTGAGAAGTTAAAAGTAATCTAAAAAATGTAACAAAAAAATAATTCATGTAATGCATTGATACAGAAATCAGACAAATATAGAAATGACAACAACAGTAGAGATATGAAACAGCAGCAGCAGCAAACTTTTTTGATTTTCGTTAGGGCTCCCATGTGACTCTCCTTCTTAAAATGTTGCCTCAACCTCTTGATTTCCGGTCTGGACATATCGATGCTCAGTAGATCGTCATCATCGACGTACTTCAGTTGGGTGACGCTGTTAACTTTCAATGTCGTCACGAATTTGTTGTGGTAGTGTTGTAACTCTGCTGCTGTCAAAAACTCCAGCAAATCTTTGTTAGATGGATTGTTAGCGGTCATCTTGTTGCTCCTGTGGTTGTTGTTAGTGTTGTTGTTGTTAGTGTGTTGTTGTTGTTGTTGACGTTGTTTTTGAGTAAATTAATGAGACGGAAAAGTTGCTGCTGTTGTTGATGAGATCTCGACAGATGTGTACTTGCTTGACTTTGTGGTCGGAGTTGTTGTTTTTAATAATAAAATTTGAAATTATCCTATTATTCAATTAGAAAACAATCAACTATATAATCCAATGTATGGCTGAAACTTTTGCAGTTAGCTATTCCTCCTTTAAACAATCAAATTAAGACATTTAAAAATCTAGAAAATAATATTTGAAAAAATAAATCACTAAAACATTAAAAAAGCAACATCTCTAAAATTTAAGGTACACTGCAAGCTACAAAGAAAATAGGACAGACTAAAATTTAAAGCTCATCATCACTATTAGCCAGTCACTTTGATGCAGTATCATAAACAACAAAGTGATGAATATTACATCAGATATATCATATCTCTATGTATATGTTTATCCTAATCTGCATTAGTGCATGCCATAGACATATATACATTTATACATATATTATATATGTATATATATATAATATATTATATAATATATTATATATTCTGAACTAGAGTTTAGCATATATTAGTTACACTGAAAATACATATATACATAGTATAACAATGTTATTGTTAGGCACCAACCACACTTTGTGTGAAATATAATGTAAAGGAATAACTGAACAATTTTCAAGTAAAAAAAAACAGGAATGAATAATTTTAATGAGAAATTGTTAGTAATATCGGTAGAAAATGAAGTGGGCTATCAACATGCCTAACGTAATAAAAGTTCTCATTCTCTGTTACGTTTTATTTACGCAAAAAATCATTTCAACCGTTTGTCGGTGGTGTCATGAGGATGGTAATCGAGTACGAACCTCTGTAGGTGCAGCCGATTGGCCAAAAGATCGCCACTACTAAGTGATCGCCAGTGTTGGAGGAGTAGGCTTTGTTGCTAAATAATTCATATTGCAAGACGTAAAAATAAGGACTGACCAATGGTCATTTATTCTAAAATTGAAATTGCCGTCATATACATTCCCCATTAACTTTCATCAGCAACTGATGTACATCTTTAAATGGCATCGTCGTAATGGCAAAAAATTGAATTCAATGCACAACATACATCTGATCTGACAAAGTAGGCTAACGATAAAGATTCAACATCAGAGGTTAGAAACAGTGAAGAAGAGTATGGTGGACATTACTGGTGGCAATAATAATGATGATGACGTTGAAATATTTAATGACGATAAAGTTTATATTAGAGACAATGGCGATAATATGAGTGATGACGAAGTTAGTGTCCCTGATAAATACAATCCTAGTGGTCATAACTCATAAAGACTGAACCTAACGGTGAGCGAGCATTCCAAATAAAATGATATTTTTTATAATGTTTGCTATCGGTGCTAATAACGTGGATAATGTGAATGATGAAGATTATGATTTCAAATTTTATACGTATGGCACAAAAAAAAAACTTAAGTATTTCTTGTTCTCTACTCGAACAACGTAAATGTAAATCGATAATTTAAATTAATTTTCGTTCCATAATGAATAAAGGCTGTATAGTTATAGTCATAATCAATGATAAGTAGCAAACAGTATTGTAGGTAAATGCGCGCGCACATATGTGTATAGGATTTGCACATATATCAATACAAACAAGCACAGGCACATGCATAAGCACAAGAAAGACACATATGTTAGCAGTTGCACAGATGGGGTTTTAAACATGCATCATATGTGTTTGCATGCAATGCACCAAGACTGTGGAGATGATGCGGATAAACGAAAAACGAGTGAAAATTTAGTTGAAATGGGTATAATTATGATGAATATGATAACCAGCAACGATAATGATAACGATGATTCATGATTACGTAATGATGGTGATTCATGATCAATTAACTAATCATGATTCATCTTTCCTCAAATAGTTACTTTTAATATTAAAAATAAATTGTTGGCAATATGAACTTGAAATAATTATTAACAATATTAGGCGTCGCTTTGATTTTTGACTGACAAACTTGCTTATGCCTACCGCTCAGCTTCATGGTATACTTTTATCTATCTAAGTTTATCGATGAAATCCCATAAAAATGCTATCATCAACATGTTCATCACAAATCAGAAATATAAGACAAATTCGAGAATTGTCGAATATATGACCGATGCAAACTCTTGCGCAAACATTGGTACATTCAGTCGATGCAAAATCGTACCGCTAAAGTTGTTGCCAGATGTTAAAAGTATGATCCCTTTGCACCCATGTATGTTAAACGATTTGCATTAGAATCACCTTCGAAATCGCCGTAATGGTTTAAAAATCTATAAATAACCCCGCACCAATGTATTAGTCAGATCTATTGAAAGTGACATTGCCAATTATGTCTGGTACTTATCTGAGATATGAGGATAGGATTGAAATATGCTATTGGTTCCCCCGCGGCAATCGTGAACTGGTTCAAACAGCTTTGTTTGGTCAGGGCCAGTCGTCTGGAATCATTCGCCGTCCTCATTGTGAAAATCGTATTTGAGCATTCAAGAATTCAAAACAAGATTGACGAAAATACTTATCTTCGTATTGATTTCGTCTATTTGTGACATTACTTATATAATCAATTTTTATTTTGGAAAGTGCTTGATAGAACTCATTTAACGGGTGCTCTACAATTTTTTATTAGATTTTGATATTATATATATATATATATATATATATATATATATATATACCAATGAAGCTCATTTTATGTTGACATAAAATTTTGTGAATTTTCGCGGGTATCGCAGTCTGAAGTTAAAACCTTTGTAATTAGTTCTCCGTCAACCTCTTGTATGATTGATTGTATGCCTGCTAATATTTTTAAACAATATATAGATTATTTTTTGCCCTATTTTACGGAATTAATTAATTTGTGTCTGTCAACAGGCACATTTCCAGTTGTTTATAGGCATGCAATTATTATTCCTCTTCAGAAGCATGCGTCTTTAGACGTGAATGAACATAAAAGTTTTCGACCTGTCTCGAATTTAACTTTTATTTCGAAGGTTTTAGAAAGAATTGTTCATAAACAATTTCTAAAGTATTTAAATGATAATAACTTTTTTCCGAATAATCAATCTGGTTTCAGACGCTTTCATTCGACGGAGACGGCCTTGTTACAGGTATTGTCGGAACTTTTTGAGGCTTCTGATCGCAACCAGGTCTCTCTTCTGATTCTACTTGATATGAGTGCCGCATTTGACTGTGTGAATCATGATACACTGTTACGTCGATTATGTTTAAGTTACGGTGTCTGTGACTTAGCTTTGGAATTTTTCAAATCTTATTTGTGCAAACGTACCCAGCAGGTTTATTATAATAATTCTTGGTCAAATACAGTTGATGTTTTGTCTGGGGTTCCCCAGGGGTCTGTTTTAGGCCCGCTTCTTTTTACGTTATATACAGCCGATATTATGTATCTTATTGATGAATTTTCTTTAAAGGGTTTTGCTTATGCAGATGATGTTCAGATAATTGCAAGTGCGGCGACTGGGGAGTTTGATTTTCTGATTGAAAGAATGTTGAATTGTTTGGGTGCACTGGATGGGTGGATGGGTTTGAATGGTATAAAATTGAATCGAGAAAAAACTCAGCTGGTACCAGTTGGAACTTGGCAGCAAACCTCTAGGATTAACGTTGATTTTGCGAAAATAAGTGACATGATTATTGATTTTGGAAAAATGGCTACAGTTTTGGGTTTTAAAATAGATAAAAATCTATGTATGGGTGAACATATAAAGGTTTTGGTAAAATCTTGTTCATTTCAATTGTGGCAATTGTATCGGCAATTGAGTTTGAACAGATCAACCATGGTTACTCTGATTCATTCGTTCATACATTCTAGATTGGACTATTGTAATAGTTTGTTTTATGGTGTTTCGAAACTTGAGATTGCTAAGTTGCAGATGGTTCAGAATAGAGCTGCAAGAATTGTTGTAGGTGCTAGTCGTGTTGAACATATTAGCCCACTTCTGTCGGAATTGCATTGGTTGCCGGTCAGCAAAAGAATTGTTTTTAAAGTCTGTGTTTTGGTTTTTAGATGCTTAAACGGATTGGCTCCGCAATATCTGTCTGAAATGTTGATTGACAGATCATCGATTTCTTTAAAAACTGGCCTACGATCAGATCGGGGAAATTTGTTAGTGGTCCCGGTTATTAAATTAAAGATTGCATCACGTAGTTTTGCAGTTTTGCAAGGCATTGGAATGAACTTCCATATTTTTTGCGCCGGTCTGGTCTGACACTTCCCCAGTTCAAAAGTCAATTGAAGACATATCTTTTTTCCTTGTAGAAAATTGCCATAGTTGTAAAGCGCCTATGAGAATGTTTTTAATAGGCGCTATATAAATGATCATATAATATATATATATATATATACACGTGTGTGTGTGTGAGTGTGTGTGTATGTGTTTGTATGTGTGTGTGCGTGCGCGCCGCGTTTGCCTTTGAATGAAACAGTTTAAACAAAAATGTGTTTATCTTCAAAGCTGCTCTAAATATGGTGCTCTAAATATAATGTAACTTTAGACGTTCAATCTTTCACTTACACTGGTTAGTTTTGTAGCATCAACTCATACTTAATATAGTGACAGATTCATATTACATGAGCAAATAGGCATATATTACATGCAGATACACACCAACATACAAACACGAGGCGCAAACACTTAATGTATACAAAATACTATGGAACTTTGAACAGAATAACAAAACAGATGAATGCATAATAACAATAATGATGATGTTGGTGTTTGCAGGGCTCAACAATCACCATCAGGCAATTGTAATTTCAATGTGCAACACTAAAAAATCGAATATTAATTCCAGGTGACCTTACAATTTCTCCTGATAATTTCTGTTCCAGGATGCTAATTATTAATCAGCATCTGTATAGCAGAAATAAAAGATT